GCGCATCAAATCTTTTCGAACTTGCTATGCACCTACTACATGGTCTTAACTCTTGACTACCAAGTGTCACAATTCGCGACTTATCAGTAAGCAAGTCGTGAAGTGCACGCCGCCTCTGATGCTGGCTGTCGAGTACCCGCTGGGAACGTAGCTTTCAACATGAAAAATCTAGCTCCATTCCATTTAAGGTATTTTATGCTAGAACCTATTCTTTTGTAGCTGATGGTGGAGAGCACGATGCATTTCTGGCCTGGGTGACACAAGTTATCTCTTCAATAATTTTGTTTATTTTGTATGTACGCACCCAAGAGATATCACAGAACATATTACGCAGTTTTGATTTAGTAGCACCAGGAAATTTTGTTATCTATATTATATAGATTTTTTAAAAATTTTTTTTGGTCATGCACAAGGTTTATTACTCATAACCAATGATGCGAACAACGTTTTGGAATTTCCGTGAAATGATCTCTTTAAAGGCTGACTCTGGCGACTTTTCAAAGTCAGTGGATCTCAATGGAATTCACCAGGTATGTTCTTTTGCACGTTTCCATCACTTGTCCCCAATTACAGGCTGGAGGAGAGATGCACAGATTTTTCACAAATGAATTTTATAGATTGCTCAGAGTATCCATACCTGCCAAGTTCACGGATTCTGAATCCGAGAGGTTTCCACAGCGGGAGAAAGGGGGGGGGGGGGGGTTTGCATTAAATTATTTGCTCCTATTTTTTTGCACACACACACAAAAAAAAAAAAAACATCACGAAAAGCAAGAAAGGGGGAGAGGAGGGTCCCAATCACAGACAGTGGCATAGCGGTCTTATAATTACTTGGAGTGGCCAAACACAAGAGGGCAGGGTTTCCCATAAGGTGAGCTTCTCAAAGGAGGAGCGCAAGTACTCCCGAAATTTCACCCCATCCAAACAACAAGCAAAATATATTTCCGTCAAAACAACTCGCATATATGTCTTCCTGGGACACGTGAACAAACGGGATAGCACAGCTGGCTGTCGCGAAAGCGTGGGTCAAAGTTTTGCTCGTTACTACATTGAACAGGAACGCCAGAACGCTTCTATCCTTTCTTACGTCATTGCTGCCTTTAATCTACCACTGCGTTAGCCGCGTGCTCTCGAGGCTCGTAGATCGTATCGCGTCGCTGCGACCGTGGTATAGTGCGGCAAACGATAGTGTCATTTTCAATTCGCGTGAGCTGCCTGCGCACGTGCCATCAAAACTAAGTAGTTTCAAGCTATCTATAATTGCAGCTGCCAGGGTTTTGTGTACAGAGTAATCGGAAAGCAGCATTGCTAAGAATGGTCGAGAATTGGACGCGCTCACAATTTCAGAGGTCTGCCAGTTATGCCATCGCTTTACATGACCGTATCAGTCAAGAACGCCCACGGTTTCGTCCGCAGTGGTTGTGGCAACGAGAACCACGTGCACTGTGAACACAGTGCGTGTGCTGGTCGCACGCGTACTTCCAAAGCTCTCTGTTCTCGACCTTAGTTCGACGGTTTCTGTACTAAAGTTTATATGACCCGCTGCAACTAGGAAACGTGTTCAGAACATTGGAATTTCGGCACAATGAACGCCGTGAAATTTGGCTGAAAAATTTCACAACTTCGTATCTGCCACGCTTTTGCATCACCGACATTCTACTGTATGTTGTTGTGATCGGCGATCCACCCTTTGCTGCAGGCGCCGCGATGGAAGGGCAGCCGCCTCTGTGGCAATAAGGAGCAGCGCGAAAATGCTGGTTTGTAGCGCCATACGAAAGGTGGCTCGTACTTGGCTTAAATTAAGTTTTTTCAGCCCTGCCAGCACAGTTTTATGCTCCGCTATTGCCAAACATACGAACGCTTTCTTCCTATGGCAATATTGAGAAGCTTCAGTCAGTCCGCAAACTTTTTAGGGATTGCATTTTACCCATCATTGCCCCACAGTTTTGAGCGGCCTGGACAGGTAGCATCACATGACTGTGGAATGCACAATAAGCGATCGCCATTACTCTTACGATCCCTTTTTGGCGATTTTACTTGGCCTCCACATGCATCCGAATCTCAGCTGTCATTATTTCAGAGAGCTCGGCTTGTTCACATAGCACGGTCAGTAACAGACATTCCCTAACAGACAGTGTCTGCCCTTTGTTGCTTTCGTACTCCATGCCGGCGAGACCGGCACGCCTTGCACAGTTTCCGGTTTCCATGGTTTTTGCCAATGTCTATGTCACACAAAGACGGTACTGCAGTTGGGTTTCAATGTTGCACTTTTTTGCTTATTTAAAATTATGCTCAACTTAGCCGAGTATTTCTGCTGTAGCCCATGACAGGAGCATCTCGGATCACTAAATCCCCATTACTTTGACATGGTAAACAAATTGCCAAAGTTGGCTTTTAACGTTGTCGTGTCTGTTACAAGACCTCGAAATGAGAGCACAGAGACATCACAGGCTCTTGCGATGCTGTCCTTTTATCACAACAGATTTTGACAAAGTGTGTTTTACTGCTCTTATTGAACACTGCACCAGACTCAAGAAGAGTACGGTGGGGAGCTAATTGAGTTGGTAAGACACTGAAAACATAAAACTATACCTACATGCATGCCACAAGAAAAACGATATGAACAGGACCTGCGTAGATTTATCTGGATAATGTCTCTTTCCCACAACTGCAAAGTGCATGTGCATCATCAAACATAATTGTACGCTGCGTATAACAACTTGAAACACAAAATACTCATTTTATTTTTTGTATAGGTGCAATGAAGCTTGGCTGAGACACTTATCAGGTCCGTATTGTAAAACATGCAAGGGTTAGATTATTTGCTGCACCTTTTTAATTTTTGCACGGCTGGTGATCTTGGCCAGCCCGAAAAGTTGTATGCATTTTCCTCTTTTTGTGCTTGCTTTCAATCCACTTCGTTTCTTGTCTTCTTCCTAACTTTGTTCTCTGTAGCAACTGTAGCACAATTTTTTTCAGACATTTTCCTTTTCCTGTCAGTTTACAAAACTGGCAATGCCTAGGTGGATGCATCGCACTGTGTTAGTGAGAGAATAGCTGTGCTTCTGCAGATGTTTTTTAATGCAGCGTCCTTTCTGCCCAACAGATACTGAATCACAGCTAAGTGTTATCTCACAGACAACCTCTGTTTTGCAGGGCACATATATATTTCAGTGAGCTATTCCACAGCCTTCTTTCTTTCAAAAGTTTTTGTTGCTGCTCGTTAGTAAGCAGAAACTGGGCAATTTACAAGGTGCACAAAATTACGTCAAATTTATTTCTCACTCTCTTCAGGCGGTGCAAAATTTTGCGCATAAATGGTCGAGTGTGGCGAGTGTTCTCGCAGAAATCTTTTTATCTACATCTGATGTTTCACTCTCATATATCCTCACTGGTGACCGCAACACACATGCGTTTAGATATGTGGATGATTAATAGGATGAAAAATACTTTTAAATACTAACCCTGACGATATTGCCAGCGAAATTTTATGGTCTGTGCGATCGAAAGTGTTTAGTTTAAAATTTTACCTCTAGATTCCCCGAGAGTTTGGGTCTGAAATTGTTTTTAATGACGAAGACCACGCTTATGTTGGGCATACCTTCCTAGCTCAAAGAAGGCTTTTACCTCATGATTTATGTCACATCTAAGCTCGTCAAGCGAGGATTCACATGCTCGTCTGAGATCATTCCTTCTTATGTCTTGTCGCACATTGTTCAGTTTAGTTTTGACAATCAAATGGATAGGTTTTGCAGTGCCGGGCTTTCTTCCACTTTTCTCAAGGCTGTTGCGAAATCGTTTTTGACGACCCTTGGGGCAATACAAGGAAGCAGGAGCTCGAGCAAAGCAAGAGGCAGAAGTTTGAGATTCTTGCTTAGGTGCACAAGATCTTGCATGGCCTGAAGAGAGTGGGAAGGAAATTTCAATTTCGCACTATACTAGGGGAAGAGAGAGACGAAATGTAAGGGCGTCTTTCTTTAGGCCCGGCTTTTTCTAAGCGCTGTGAGTCTTTTTTCGTTCTGGTTTAACGTGGATCTTGCTAACTTCCGATTCAAACAGGTCGATGGCTTTACTCTTTTCTTATACAAAAAGAATTTGTTCAGCGGACATTTCATTTTAAAATTGAACAATTTTGAACCTTAGTGCTGCAAAGTGTATGAAACCTGCGCTTCTCGTTACCGTGAAATTGAGCTCAGTTTCGGTTCCTTGATCTTGGTCATCTTGGGAACACTGCTATGGCGTTACAGTGCTGCCTTCTATTTTTGTCTAGTTGTACCTTAAGGGGCATGAGTGCATAATGATGTACGATTTGAAACCACACGAAAGCGGGGCCTCCATAATGTTTCAGCCTTTAGCGCAGCTAACGAGGCGAAATAAAAACATGGGCATCGATGCAACGTTCAGAGCGGTGACCTGCGCAATTGCCCGATCGCAAACATCCACTCACTTCTCCTCTTCACCATCATCGTCAGTCATGCACCACTTTAGGAAAACCTTGAGCAGCATGTTGAGCCTTCGGTCATCGCCCATTCCATCGCCGTCAATGAGAAGCTTCCGACGGATGATCTCATCTGGAAGGTAACCACGTAGCTAAAGTAAGCAACCTGATCAGCGACTATAACAGGCATACATAGCTCCACAGGTTCTCATGCATCAGCATTAACTGCCACATCGCTTATGACACCACGCAAGCAAACATTAAACATTGCGAATGATCGAGCTACTACGCATACCTTCCGAGACAGGCGCCATTTTTCTCTTTCAAGCCGGCGCACAACGTTGACAGATTGGAAAAAAATTACAACCACAAAAAGAAGTTGCTTACAACTAAAAAAAGACAACCTTACTTACACTATATAAAAAAATTAATTTTTTAAATATATATTTAGATGTACTGCATATGCTGCAAAGGTTTTTATTGTAGTTTTTTATATAATTTATATTGGTAGAAATGATGGTGATAATCAGTGTATTGCTTGCAGCGTCATCTCTTTTCGCGCTATTGAAGTTCGTTGCGTCACCGCTACACTTACTTTCGTTCTGCAGTGGTAGGTCCAGTTTCTGTTCTCTGAAGTTTGTTGAGAAGTGTTCTGCGAGGAGCAGCGTGTAGTTGTATGGAGTTGGGCGAGTGGCCTTTGAACGAAATCGGCTGCCACTTTGTACTGCCCGAACAGCAGCGCAATCCCCTGTGCAGTTTGTGTCCGCAGGCGCTGGACGAGCGCAACGCGGCCCATGTCATTTCGCTTCTGAGACGAGTCGTCTTCTACTTACACGCCCTGCTCAGCACCGTGCTCGAAAACGTCGGCACCATGAACGATTTCGCCAAGCTGGGCAACGCGCGACCGCCGCTACAACCAAAGTCGACGCCAATTACACAGGATTACTCCATCTCGGACCGTGTGCTCGGACTCGGCATTAATGGCAAAGTTGTCGAGTGCTGCGACAAGGCCAAAGGTACCAAGTTCGCCCTCAAAGTAAGTGTCGCATCTATTTTGGTGACAACCTCTGCGGCGCGCTGTTTCGCAGTGTGATCGCGTTCCGACGTAGATCGTACGTACGTGGCTTTCCTGATAAGTGCCCTCTGCTGCATTAAACCGTCAAGGCCATCATCCTTGCACTACAGCTGCTGTTCTGTAGATGCCGTGCGGCTCCTTGACGCGACCACGCGCTGCAGTGGGATGATGCACTTCAACTGCGGCGCATGTCCGCGTGGTCGTTCGATTATCAAGTTTTGACTTCAATCGAGAGCAGCGTCCTTCGCGGAAGTTACTGAAATATTCCAGTTGAGGGCGACCGGGTTAAATGATCTGCTAGCAACTGTGAAAGTCTTCACAAAAGAACGAACGTGAAATTTCGCTTGAAGAGCTCTCTGCGTTTAGCGATGCTGCGTAGCTGGTCGATTCTTTCTTTTGCCCGTGCGGCACAACAACGTGCGAAAGTGCGCCCTGTAGTTCCCATAGTTAACGGTCGAGTGTCGCCTAGATTGCCCGTTGGAGGAGTGCGAAGTGAAAGCGCGTGCATGGCGGTTTAGTTCAGACCACAGTTGGTGTAAAAACTTTTAAGATGCAAGCGACCGGGACATGGCACGCGCGTTTGCTATTTTGTCTTCAAAGCTCGTTTTGCCGATTTTATTTTTTTTTGTGCGCAGCCACACTAAAGAAAAACATATAGAAGCGGATCATTCAGGCAGAACAGCACCGCATTTCGTTGTGCAATCTTCTAAATTAAGAAAGCGTAAACTGCTTACGTATGCATGCATGCGACATTCACACGGATCAAGGAAGGCTGCATGCATACCGTGTGTACTTGCTCGTTTCATAAGCTTCCCGCGGCACCGGAAGCTTGTCTTTTCACTCTGAGCAGTGTCCATGAACTGAAAAGCTTGGGTTGTGAAAAGTGTGAAAAGCTTGGGTTACAAGCTCAAGTTGTGACTTGAGCTTGTAACATGCAAGAGTTTCCCAATGAACATGTTAAGCAGTAGTACTAAACGTGTTTATCTTGTCAAGCTGTTGTTTGCCCTACAGACACTTCGCCAGGAACTATGGTGAGAAATCAACCAAGGTAACTTGATGAAACTGACTGCCAAAGAAGTGCGCCATGACGAAAAGTCAATGCCAAAGTATCATCGCCATGAGCTCACTTCTAAAGCCTTTAGTCAGTTGAATATCATAACACTCTTAAGCATGTCTTGCAGTGGCAGAAATACGCACTCACTCAAAAGCATCCAGACTGTACAGGGAGTATTGTGGGCTATGGGTGGCAGCTGTGCAATAAAAGCAAGAAAATGAGAAAAAAAACCTTAGCTATGCTCCAAGGAGTGCTATGTTATGCATAGTTTATGACAGGAACAATGTACAAGTCATTCCCCGTGTTCATTAAATAGAAGTCCATCAATGGGGCAATCCAGTAGTCCTTGCACTACTCAGAAGCAGTGTTTTGAAAGTCAATGGAAGATACAACAAGCTGTGATAACGAGCTTCAGTCATGATCATTGGCAAGATAGAGTGTGAAAAACATTGGCATTGGAATGTTGGCATCTGCTGCAGTATAGCATGTGGGTATCGTAGTCCTGTCTATCGGGCAAGATGGCCGAGGGGCTCTGAATGATGATAGCCAACATATTGTGCACAATGATCTGTGAAGACGTGAAATGGACAGAAAAACTTGAGTCTAGCCTAGTTGGTGTTTACGGCTTGAGGTCTTGACCAGTAACAAAAGATGAAGACGATGATGGAAATGATAACACAGGCGGTAATCGTCGTTCACTGTCTTTGTATTTTGTTAAGCAGTCAAGATCAAACAAGCAGCTATGCGAATTAAGGCAGAGCTTAGTAAGAGACTGTATGATGGTCAAAGCTGGGCATAGACTCTGAGCATGAGCAGCATTCCTGAGCCAAGATCTGGTGATGACTTTCTAGCGTGCATCCTAAATACAATATTTTCTTTCAGGTGCATTGTTTTGTTCTTGACCTTGGTTCAACAGCTTGTGCTGGCTGTATGGGGAGATATCATTCTAGGTCATTCTGCTCAAATGTGCGTTAGATATAGTAATATCTAATCAATATGAAATCAGTAAGCAGTATAAACTGGTAAATTGGACTAGAAAAGTGTTGCAACTTTCCTCTCAACTGCACATAGTGCATGAGAGTAATAGATGTTTCAGACAGGAACCTTGACAAATGACCAATCTTTGAATCTGGCATGTGCCGACAAAAATACCATCATTTTTTACTAAGAGCCCAAGGTAGCAGCCAAAGGCTCTTTGAAAAAAACATGACACCAATCTCACTGAGCTTTACTCATGCGAAAAAGCAAATAATAAAAGAAAAAAATAATCTCAACTAAACACACAAGAAAAGGCCAGTTGTGATGCAAAAAATAATGTGAACATAGATGAAATGATGTCATAATATCGCTTGATTAAATCGAGATTGAACCCTCAACAAATGAAAAGTAATGAACTGCCTGAAAACCTGAAAATATGGCACAGTAAGATACAACAAGAGTAAAGCTGAAGGTGACAGAATTAAAAGCGACCAAATAAAACAGTAAGACCCCTCCGCCTATTTGCCGCTCACCCTAATTTTATGTGGAAATCAACTAGCAAACAAAGCAAAAACACTAAAACAAAACAAGCCAGTTTTACGGAGCACACTTCAGGAAAACATTTTTGTTGGCACATGCTAGATTACTCTTGTGTCCAGGTTCCTGTTTGAAATATCAATTCCTTGCTACGGCAGAAAATAAACAGTTGGCAGTCTATGCTCAAGGGGTTCTGAACGTTTTCTTGTGTCTTCGCCTTCTTGGGTGGTTTAAGAAAGTTTTTCAGCAATGAGCCTGCCAGAACATATGACGAAAGTAATAGAAAATCGCTACAGCATGCTCCTCTTGATTACGGCAAGCCAACAGAGAGCGGAAAGAATGGCAGAAATTTGGCCTGAAGTATGACGATTGTACGCTTTGAAAAGTGTTATCTAGCTTTAAAAAAAGACAGTAGCACTCTTGACGGCACCATCTTTCATGCATACTCATGAATTTACCAAATTTCTGGCTGTTCTGGTCCTAAAATATTTTGCCATTTATGAGCTTAATCAAAGAAATAAAAGAATTGTTAAAAAAAAAACTTGGTGAGAGGTTTATTTTTGCAGTTGATGTTGGGCCTAAGTTTTTCAGCAATACTTTGGGCAGTGTGTGGTGTCTGACAGCGGGCTACTGCATCTGTGTTGCATTGTTGGGTTTGGACTGCAAATGGGTTAATATATTGCTTGAACCTCCCTCTCTGCCTCCCTACTTAGTATATAAATGTATAAAATTGATTGATTTGTGGGGTTTAACGTCCCAAAACCACTATATGATTATGAGAGACGCCGTAGTGGAGGGCTCCGGAAATTTTGACCACCTGGGGTCCTTTAACGTGCACCCAAATCTGAGCACACGGGCCTCGACATTTCCGCCTCCATTGGAAATGCAGCCGCCGCAGCCAGGATTCGATCCAGCGACCTGCGGGTCAGCAGCCGAGTACCTTAGCCACTAGACCACCGCGGCGGGGCTATAAATGTATAAAAGAAGTGCAGCTCACAGGAGATGTTTGTTAGGGTGCAACTGTAGTAAAGTAAGTGACACTGCAGGGCATAAGTATTTATGAAGGGATTGTGCTGTTGTAAAATGTAATCACATTGACTAAATCACAGCAACATTCGATGATAAGATGGCTGCATTACTTTCAATACAGACTACGATTGCGAGCATTCCACTGCTTGCAGTTGCTCACGCCTTAGCTCTCTGTCATTGTGAATGAGTTCTGAGGAATCTTGCAATGTGGCGGAGCGGTTATGCAAGGGAAAACTGGCAGCCACTTGTTTGCAGCACAAAGACACAGTAGGGATTTCCTTGTAGGCTTGTGCTACAATTAGGTTCTTGTCAGTTTTCACTTTCAGTCCACTTTCACCCATGCCATTTTCACTGCAAGCAGGGACTGATTATACAGTGATAGGAATATATTGCTCGCATTTGCCTTTATTCATTTGCATTGACATTTATTCGACGCTACGAGGTTAGTAGAAGAAAAACCTTCAGTACAAGCAATTGCGGCCATATCGGTGAGTGCAGTACAGTTGGCTTGAAGTGGTTCTACACGCAAGTTGCCCTTGATTCTAGTCTGTAGCGGGTTGATATGTGTGTCACATTCACCTCTGGTTTGGGCATGGCCAGATTTTACTTCTGCCTGATGGGCCAGGTGTTCTGGCACAGTTGTCACATGTGGAACACTCCATTGCACGGTGGCTATACAGAGCCACACCCTCTCTCACCAACTCGTGCATACGGGAATTGAGTGCCAGGGGTAATTTGCATTTATTGCATATATCTTTGCATATAAACAGCCATTGTTTGAGAACACTTAAAGAAGGTAATTTATTTGCCCTTGAGTATTGTTACAGAACAAAAGAAGGATGAAAAGAGAGTTGCAGGCACGCTCTGCAGCTATTCTATATTGCACAACGAAAGTGGACACGAGGTTAACATTGCTTTCGTGGTTGCCAACGAGTTAGGCAAGTTATGAATTGCCATACAGACGAGGAAAGAGACAGACTGATGTCTATACACTGATTTTGCGTACTATGTGAGCTGCTTTAGCACTAGTTACTTCTATGTGTCGCAGTCACACTGTTTACATGAAAAGATTAATTGGACGTAATATGTCCTCGTCTGGAGGATCACTATCCACTTTTCTGTGGCACAGTTGTGATTATAAATTCAGAACAAATTTTATGAATGCAGTTTTATACAATTACAATAACAAACAAAAGCATTGTACGATTGAGGCTTGACATATTAATGTGAACGGTTGTATAGGCCAGCCTATTATTGGCCTGCATAATGATGAAATGCCATGCCTAAGCTGTTAACTCAAAAAACATCCACGCATATGCCCAAGATTGGCCTCTCAATACAGGTAAGCTTTGGTGGCTATCTTCTTTTCTGCCTAATGCTTGACCTCTCAGTTCACCACAGGCATTCGGGTTGTCTGTACCAATCTTTTTGCATCTGTGCCTGCTCACACCTTTCCTGAGATTTCAAACATCATGCACACATGATCAATGGATGTTTGCTATATTTGAAGTGCAAGGTTGCAGCACAATGCAATCGTCCAAATATTTCCCATTTCAACGGCTGTGACAGGCCTGACTGTCGCAATTTATCTTGACTGAAACAGTTATGTGTATATGCACAACAGTTGGTTGAAATTGATTGCAAGATGGCTATCATCCTCATCACGTGGGCATAGTTAAGTGAGCTAGCGTGCTTCTGTGTTAGTGTCACTCGCACACTGTCGCATACCCATGCGTAGGGACGCCTGTTATTGAACACACTGTATCCTATGGGTGAGTTTGCCACTCACTTGACAGTGTTGAAGTGCCTCAAATTAGCATTGGTTCAAGAACAATGTAAGTAATACAAAAAAGCTGGGTCGTAAGTATGGTTAACCACATCTTTTATCAGGAGGGTCGTTATGCATTAAAGTGCACAACAGTACAAAAATCTAGTTTTTTTATTTTCACCCCAAGACAGTTCACAACCCGGCAGCCAGGCACGTCCTATGCAATGGCTGCCTCTACTGTGTTTGTACATAATGTTTGCTATAAAAGCTGTTTATAGCTGCCACACATTAGATTCCATATTGGCTAGAACAAGAAATATATGTTGTGTTACCCACTCACTCATTGTCTCTTCCATATCACTTACCTTTCTCATGTTAGATGCTGCCAAAGGGACGCTCATTGGGTCTCACTGACAAAGTGACTCACTGACAGTGACACTGGTTTGATGTCGTCCCATTGACATATGCTCATAATTGTCTGTTCTGACAGAGCCCTTACCATGTCCCCCCTTGCTAAGCATTGTGTGATCACTGAACAGATACATGTCATCCTTCAACGTGATGTCATTCAGCTGACCTGCATTCCTTGTCATCATCTGTTTTTTGTGACAAGAAAAATGATGGCTCAATTTCTTCTGTGTCAATTACTGCCTTCAGTTACGCAAAATGATGTTAGACTCTCTCTATGCATCACTGATGCCGTGAATTGTTTGCAAGGTGCTGAATTCTTTTCATTACTAGGATTATGATCCGTTTAATGGCAGGTTCTCATGGCATTATCTGATCACTTACAAACTTCTGTAACAAATGATGGTTGATGAGTATCCAGGCATTTAATAATATTCCATTTGCATTCTCTAATTCTCCAGCAAATTTAAAAGGGTGTTATATAAAAAACATGGCTGTGCTACTTAATTATCTTTTCTTTTTGATTTTGACAGTTTTTTCTATTAATATAATGAAGGCATGAGTTGTCTGGGGCATGCAGACCTTCAGTGTAATTCCACGAAAAACTGATTTATGACTGGCATGCATATAATACTTGGCCATATTGTCTGAAGGAATAGTGTTCACTCAGATATGGAAAAAATCGGGGGACCCTAAAGCTTTGCATTTAAGAGTTAACCGCGATAGCGACACCCTGTTCCTAGTGCGTACTTTAAACACTTAGTGCATGAAACCCTAGTAACGTGTTTTTTGTAGTGTGTGACCGGCTTCAAAGCATGAAGCCATTATGAGGTAATCACATGTTCTTACGCCGACTGGCAATCGGCACTTGTACCACGCATTATTACTGCAATATTTTATGTTGCATTGTGAAGCATGTGTACAGGATGCACGTGTTTGTGAAGCATGAAGGCTACTGTCACTGCATTTCCAAGCAGAGGAAGTTCTTTTCACTGTTTTCACAAGCAGAGGCGGGGCCGTGTAGTAGAATATCCACTTGCAGCGCATACGACTCGGGCTTGATCCACCACCCGGACCCAAACAACCCTGGTTCGGTCCCCACTTTGGTCCAGGATTCTTTATCATTTATTTATTTTATTTGCATCAATCTCAATTTTTCAGTCACGCATAAGATGATGATTTTTAGCTCATAGCTGACGAAGCGGACACCGAATATCTACGAAGTGAGCTCTTTAACGTTATCGCGTGAAAACTTAGCACAGTTGCTGAATTCTTGAAGCTTATGAAAACGAGAGCACTTACTAGCCTTATAAGCCTTTGCCCATACTTTCTCTACTTTGTGGAGAACTTTGTTTTCATAATCACGCCACTGATCACACTTGATGGACATCTCTTCATTCGTCGGTCACCGATGTGTGATGTGGTATTCACCTCCCAACATCACTGCCCATTATATATCACTTCTGCACTCGCTGAGGCACACATGAATGCCTGTGGTAACGAGCTTGGTGCCACACTTGTGCAGTACAAGCCTGCTTTTTCTTAGTTTGTAGCAGATGGGAGTTTTGGCCTCACCAAAGTGGAGTGCAAGTACTCACTTGCTGAAAATGCATTTTTGGCAATTGTTTGGCCATTACAAAAATTTTGTTGCTATGTGCATGGCCATCCCTTTGACGTCGTTGAAATACATCATTCACTTTGCTGGGTGTTCCCATTGAAGGATCATTGGAGTCATCTTGGACACTTTGTAATAGGCTTATGTCTTCACATTTTTCACCTGGGACGCAATAATGCCAATGGAGATGCACTTTCACAGGCACTCTGATGGTTTTCCTCTTTCCCCTATGAAAACTTGATTCACCAACATTATTGTTTCTGACATGCCTTGAGAACAGCGCGAGGATCAACATTTTCTCTTTGGCCGTGGCGACTTCTACTTCCCTCAGAAGCTCTTTTTTTTTTCCAGTGAAGTTTATCTTTGTCTCAGCGGCTTCCATGGCCATTTCGAGCATTTCCTTGAGAAGTCCCCCATTATGTGCTCTGGCATGCCATGTTGTGCGGTATCAGCCAAATGATAAAACATGGTTCATCTTTTGTCATACCTCGCCATTTGTGCTCTGACTTGGGCACATAGTGGTGTAGCCAGGGAGTGCCACAACAAGCCCGTGCCCGCTCCCGAAATTTTTTTTTGCCATGGCATGCAGAGCACCCCACCCTCTCTGCCTCAGATAAAAATGTGCCCCCACCCCACCCCTAAAAAATTTCTGCCTATGCGCGTACACACTTTCACACATACTACTCTCAAAATGCACATGCTGTCATTTAAAAAACTTACGATAGATTTTGCCATAAATTTCACTAGCATCGAGTGCACATCTATATTCCAAAGTTGATTAATTCCTTCACTGGGTGACAGTGGCAGAAAACAAATTGATATACAGCTAGCCCCTTTTAAGCTTTGCTCTATCCTGCTCACTTACTTGATATAAATGACATAAACCTACAGGGCCCTTTTTGCTGCACCCGGCTGTGAAAATCTACTGATTTCACACATTTACAATAATCAACCAGAATTATTCTGAATGTGTGAAATCAGTATATTCAGTTACAACTCCGCTGATATGCTAATACCGCCGCTGCAGCTCGTGATGTCACTCTGTTGATCATATGTGGCCTTTTTCTTTGTCACAGCATAATGTGGGAGCTGTCTAGTGACTGGTGGTCATTAAAGTTAGCGAGGTGATAGGGTCTTTGTGGGCATTGCCTCTGAACATTTTGATTACCACTTCATGCTTCTTTTCTTGCGATATGTTGATAAAATGGCCACAAAAGCAGCTAATATGTTTGTTCTTTCTGTTACGCGGATGTGAACCCCCTTTTGTACCTGATACACTTCCATACTACGTAAATGCATCCGAGTATTGCCCAGCCATAACTTGACTAGTCTGTTGAAGAGCACAGCCAACTAGCTTGTTCATTTACATTCTTGGACACAAAGTCTTTAAAAAGAATGGCTTGATGTGCCAAAACTACCCATGCCTTTTGCCGCACCTGTTGTCTTGTTCATGTTGTTCAGAATTTCATGTCATGACCTAACCTGGAAATTTGCTACCCAATGTAATGGTGCATATAGAATTGTTTAGCGTATATTGTTCAGCTGCTTCATCAAGCCAGTGACTCCTCCCTTTGATGTGTGCTATCACGATCGTGAGGCAGCCCAGCTTAGCTGCCTAGGCAATGGCCGTTGAGGGTTTCTTTGCATTACTGGGGTGTCAGGAAGAATTTTAGACTGCTTTTCCACATTTTTCTTAATATCGCTTTTGCTAACTTATTTTGATTATACCTTGCTCAAGGACAAAAGTGCAGTTGTACTTCTATCAAATATGTATTCGCTCATGAGTGACGTGGGGTCCTTTTGTTAACAGGTTCTCAGGGACAATGTCAAGGCGCGCCGAGAAGTGGACCTTCATTGGCGAGCCAGCAACTGCAAGCATATTGTGAACCTCGTGGATGTTTACGAAAATGTTTATGGTGGAAACAGATGTCTCCTAGTCGTCATGGAGTGGTGAGCATTATAATCAAGCCCCTATTGCACACAGGATAGCTCTTACTACTGGTAAATAAAGAAGTGTAGCATATCCAACAATTTTTCTACCAATCGATGCACCCAGGAGAATGTTCCTGTACTGCATAATGAGTAAAAGTACAATACATGGTGGTAGTGCATAATAATGGAATCATTGATGCAATTGAAGCTCATCCCAAGCTGTGATAATTGAGCCTACTTTCAACCATGCAGAGAGACAGTGATGTGCAACATAGCTGAATTAACTCATCCATTCAAAGCTCTGGAGGCAGAGGACTAGGTAACGCCCTGTGCGTTGTACTCAGTGAAGCGAATCAAGCGTTCTATCTGCTCGGTAGATCATGCGTCTCTGACATTTGAGCCACCTGAGCTCCAAGCATCAGTACCCTTACCACATACCGACGTCAATGACGCATGATATCCGTACAGAGTCTTTGGAGAAGTGGTGTGCTGTTTCTTGTCTTGAGTCGGAGGGGCTGCTTAATGAAGGCCGCTATATGCGGCTTTCAACACTGCGACTTTCAACACAGAATATGCGACTTTCAACACAGAGGTTATACGTAGTAAAATTGTAAATGTTTTTGTTTTATCATGGTAGTTTTCACTCAAAGCTGGGTTTTATTATTTCCACCTTGTCAACTATTCACACCCACATTGTTGAAAATTTTTGCAACTACTTGACCATAATTTGTTGCCAGTTTCAAATAGGATAGTGCTTGCACTGTATAATGTGCACTAATGGTAGTTTAACGCAACCTATTGAAGCCTATAAACATTGAAGCCAAGGAACGCACAGGGGACGTTAATAGTAGTTGGGTGGTTCCACAAAAGGTGAAATATGCATGTCTGGTCGATATGTTTTTCGTATGGGTTTTTGATATGTTATGTGGGCACATAAGTGTATGGAATTTACAATGTTATTTCTGAAAAACACTCTCAGCGTGCCAAAAAATATTTGAAGGTGGCGGCACGAGCGTTTCATTTTGCTCACTACAATATTTTTGGATTTCGAAGCTAAATTTATCACATACTATGAACGTGCTGTCAATTTTTTCTGGTAGCTTTCATATGCATTACTGTCAATAATGTGAAGACTTTTTTTTATTTTAGTGTCCTCAAATAGAAAAAATTAAAAAAAAAACGTAAACTTGCCCCCCCCCCCCCCCAAAAAAAAAGTTTTCAAAGTTAAACTTTAATGTGCAACCAACCATTTTTTACTTCACGCAGGAACTTAAACACACTGTCAAATATAGGAAAAGGGTCTTGCTACATTTCTTCAAAAGATCATTAGCCTACAGAGAGCATAAAAAAAGAAAAAAATTAAATAAGCAAGTTTTTCAAAAAAACTCATCTTTAAAAAATAAAGTATAAAAACATTCGGTCTCATTTTCGATGAAAAGGCTTTATCAAAGAGTGCTTCTGTCTTCTGTCATTCTATGGGGGTGCCCCCACCCCCTGTAATGTTGTTTGAACCCCATGGTGCACACATGCCTCGTGGATGGGCGACATACAGGTTTGACTGCCGTTGAGCAGTAGGTGGTGCGGTGCTGGCATACTTTCACTATCGCCATCATCATCATAATTATGGTTAGCACCTGCATTGACGCCCAGCAGCAAAGCTTGGTGGCTACACAGAAAAGAATGGGGAGGGGGGAGTCTGTTTGGCGCATGGCGGCTCGCGCGAACAGTCATTGCCTGCGGTGGGTCTATAGCAGCCCTGCGGGTCGTCTACCGTGGTCTCCTCATCGTGAGTCAAATATCGGCGACGATATCTCTGTGTTGCTTTGTGTTATGTTGATTGAGGGAATTTGAATATTGTATAAGGTTGTTTTTAGTGCGTCACTAGTGACATATTTGCTTCGGCTGGCAATATCGTTGTATATGATACTTTGGTTTGCCTGACTGTGTTTACTGTCTTCATTGGTTCTAAGAGTGTGCATTATCTCATGACCCCACTAGTCAAAACACGGTGTCAATATCATAGATCCTCATTTGCCTTTGTTATGGGATATAACGAGCTAAATTGGGCCTTGCTAAATGTGCTCACTTCAGAAGCAGTAATGTTTATCAGCTTGTATTGTGCGTAAATATACATTTTAATTATTTTGCTGCAGCAAGACCTTGCTCTGACATCTTGCCTTCAAGAAAAATGTATTATGACATTTTACTTGTGTCTAGCTTGTGTGGGGGATGTTTGCCTTTGCCTGTGCTCCCTGGAGGGCTAACATGTACACAGTTTATGGCTTGCAACCTCGCCTACAAGCATCAGATGAAAGGTCATAGCACCGGTTCAAGATATCAATTGCTTCTTTTTCCTTATGAAAAACCTGACATGCTTCCTTGCGGTTCTCGTAGATGTAGATAGTTTTTTTTCTTAAGGCATGCAGAGCAATACTATCCAACATCATAGATGTGTAGATATCCTTAGGCTACGGCAGTAGCTTCCGCAAGTAGACAACAACAAAAGTGGCAACGGAAAAAAAAAATGTTTTTTTTTTGTCAGAAATGTTTTCGTGAATGCTCAAATGATTGGCACAGTGTGCTCGCAGTGCCAATAGCGAAGACCTATAGGCCAAGGTAAAACGTTATACTGAACAGCGATGCACTCATTCTCTCACTCCTGCATTGCTCTCATGAATGACAGCAATGCAGAACATTAATTAACATTCATTAGTTAACTTTATTAACAATATTTTTCTTTTTCTGTGCTTTCTGTAGGCTAATGATCTTCGAAAGAAGATTCGCAAAGACTTTTTCCTTATTTGACAGTGTTGTGAAACATCCATGTGAAACGCGAAACGCTCAAGGTGCATCAAAGTTGCGAAGCTTTTTTTATTGGAGCCGAGTTTGCAATTTTTCAAGTTTTTTTCCTTTTGGGGACACTATAAAGAAAGCCTTATTATAGTTCACAGTCACGTGTACTAAAGCCACCAGGAACACTTTTTGACACAGCGTTTATAGTTCGAGTTAAATTTGGCCATGAAACACAAAAATATGACGGTGTGCAAAAACAAGACGCCTGCACCTTCACCTTCAAATATTTCTTCGTACGCTGGGAGTGTTTTTTGGAAAGAAAACTTTCGAATCCTTAAAACTTTAATGTGCCCACATAACATATAAAAAACGCAGACAAAGCAAAGGTATTGACCAGACATGAATCTTCGACCTCTTGTGGAATCACCCAGTTGCTAACAGTAGTGTAGTAGTCATGACTTTAACGGAAATGAATTAAAGTGGAGGAAAATGTTAGCGTTGTTTCATCTCATTGCTCATTGTTTCGTAGTCCATGCTAGGATGGACTAATTAAGGTGGCTCTTTTGCTGTCTGCCATTAATTTTGTGCATTATTAGTATAAGTGATATACTAGGTATAAACTATGTTTTTCTATTTCAGAAAATATGCCTCTTTTGCATTATATTTTATGTAAATGAAGCATATTTTTCTAACATTGAGGAATGTAAATTCAGGAATTGAGGGACAGCAATCATCAAAAGAACAGGTATTTTTTCAAGGGGTCTGCTTGTATGTTAAACATAACTAATCAGTCAAACAGTTCAGCCTGGGAAAGCATAGAGGACGTTAATGGCTGTCTTTAACTGCAGCGTAGAGAACGTTGGTGTTGCACAACACCAACACCAATGCAGCAAATGAGCTTCACTTGTTATACCGACACACTTTCACGAATATTCAGTTTAGTGTGTGGGCTTGATCCAACAAAGGCTTCACCATATTGTCTTTGATTAATTAGTTCCACACATTTGTGTGCTTACAGGCATCTTGTTAAGTTTTGTCCCATAAAATCCCAAAGCACTGTTGAGGATTTGAGGGCATGACTGTAGACTGTGCCGCCACCCATCGCTGTTTCAGTACTGTTCACGTCACTAACGGCAACTACACAAGATCGTCACAACTTCTAAGAAAGTTAGTCTGTCGTGCTGTGTCGCTGATGGCATTGGTGAAAAGTAACAAGAGCCTTGATAGGTGTGCTGGCAGTGTGTTTCTGCGTGAGTGAGCAGTTGTGTCGTTTGGTTTTGTGTGTTTTTGTCAGTTTCTCTGGCAGTTCTGGAGGTGCATTGAAGGTTTGCTGGCAGTTATTTTCACTGCAAGCAACACTTTCTGAGCAGTCTGCAAACTCTGTTGTTTATCCAAAGCCAGAGTGATGACCGTACGGAGGTCGAGTCAGGTACCAAGACACACGTAAAGTGATATATAGAGTTTTGTTTGAATTAATGAAAGTGTCCACTGTAATAACGTCTGCTATGCCCTCAGGAATGTCCAATGATACTGTCAATGTGGAACATTCATTGTTGGCAAGCAGTTCCCAGAATATCTCTGCTTGGTTCTTCCATCATTCTCACAGACATGTGCTGAAAAGCAGTGAAGATTGTTGATTGTTGTAACAATCTGCCACTATTTGCCCCCCGGTAATGGGTTGGAGTTTAGTCCATATAGATGGCCTTACATACCAGTGATTTTTTTTTTTTTTTGAGTCATTCTAAATATTGTGAAGCTATCCAAATACTTTGATGGCGTTGTGATGCTCTCATTATGAAGTCCGTATGTATGTGTGTGGTAGGGCTCCCACAGAACGTTAATGTACAAAGATATGGTGGTGCAGAATAGCTCAAAATATTGTCACGGAGTCGTGACGTGGCCGAAGGGAGTCGACTACAGATCGAAGATGAAACTGTTGATTTGGGCCGAACTTCTGGCTACGCAAAAGGAAAGTAAAACACTGGCACTGATAGCAGAGGGTAGAGCGTTGGCCGTCGATCAGCTGACAAGCGGCGAAGTGTGTCGGCATTTATACCCTTACCTTCGAATATTCTAGCATTATCGCTAGCGGCGATGTTAGTTCCCGAATAATCTGTGACGTTCTAGAAGTGGGTGTAACCTTAACAAAACGATCTACTAAAGCCTCGAAACTTCTCAAAAATCGTAGGCGCGGTTTGCACTGAACTTAGCGTAACGGGTTGATAACAAAACTTGAGGAAAGGAACGTGGAAATATGGTCGCTAAGTTGCGTTGACGACCACCAAAATGATGTGATTATTTAAATGTCGCACTATGGTGAAACTTGTATAATATGGCATCTGGTGTGACAGTACAAAGTTTATATGTATTTCAATGCAGTTGCATGAGGCAGGATTGGTATAACCGTCATGAAAAGCGATGATGATTATTATGATGTTTTGTGCGTACAGATGAAAAAGATGAACCACATAGTCAGTGCCGTATTTAGATTAGCCTGGAAACCTCACAACTCAGTCGCCGCTCCTACTTTTTTTTTTATCTACTGAATTTAGGCTGCACAATCTGTGATATATTTTTCTCGTGTATATAAAATTAATTAAAAGTTGACTCTTGTGTGCAAAGCTATCTTGATTTGCTAACATTACCACTTTAGCTGTTCTTACTTTTGTAAGCGTTGTTTGTGTTCAGTAAGAAAAAGAATTAGTGTGTTAACATAAGGAAGAAATGTGCGAAAGAAGAGTACACACCTTTTTATTCATCAAAATTTTGCACTGGCAGTGCACAATGTCACAATGAACAGAGCTGTAGGACTTCTTGACTGGCTCTATAGTTTTATGCTACAGGTACTACAGCGTTTTTGTTTTCTTTGAGAATTAGCAGTTGCATATTGAACCACTACAGTTGCAGCTGTGCTTGCCTTGAGAATTTTGTCACGTTGAACTCGCTTAGGCTCAATGGTGGGGAATTTTCACAAGTGTATTTGCCAATCCAGCGGTCATCATAAATGGCAAACTGACAATGCTTTCCTGACCTATTCACAGTGTTGATTTTCCCTATGCACTTCCCAGTGTTGCTTGCAAGTTAAAAAATTTGTTTGCTTCTCTCTTGTAGCATGGAGGGAGGAGAGTTGTTCCAGAGGATTCAAGATCGAGCCGAGGGTGCCTTCACAGAACGAGGCAAGTGGCATGATATAAAAATGTTCTCTTTGCTTAAACACACTCGGGTTCGTTTTAATTTCTCGTAGCATTCAGAGGCAGTTTCTAGGATTAATCTGATGCACAAAAAAGAAGACAGTCACTGATTATAATATATATAACATGACATTTTAAAATCCCGCATCTGTGGTGTTGCCTTGTATTACGTTACGTTCATTTTGCTTATGACGTTGAACTGTACATTACTGTTGTGTTCATTAGCAGCCCTCACTGTGTTTTTGAGCAGTAGTAAAGCACTGTATTTCTTTACGCTAGCAGCACAGGCTTAATTTTTGAGACCTGTACTGTTTAAAGCTTGGGCCCATGCCAGGCAAGGCCTCTGTCTGCCCGGTAATTCTCACAAGCTCTGTTCTGTGATTGCATGGCTGTGCCTGCTGAGCAAACTCTGTATACTAGCACCATCCTTGCTGAGGCTGTGTTTTCAGACACTACAGTACAGCGGTGGTGACATCAAAACATTTTCAAATTGAAGACCATTAAAAGGCCAACAGTGAAGGCTAACGAAAACAGCTTTTTTAAATTGGTATTAAAAAAGTATTAAGTCAACGAGGATACTATTTTAGGAAACCTGCAATTTTTGTTTCATGCCAAGAAAATTGTGAGATTTAGTTTATTTTGAAAATCGCCATCTCCTGAACAGGAGAAAATGACGTTATGCGCACCATTTGCTGCCAAAAAAGTGGTGACACTGCGTCTTGCCATAAATGTGCCTAAACTGCAAAAGTGTGGCCAGCAAGTGAGCCAACGACATTGCATGGATATGGCACTTCTTTTATTTGCAGTCAGAGTGAGTTTTACGATTGAGCAAAGCTACTGAAGGCTTTCATGTTAATGTAAGTAGTGAACAATGGCTGCGCTAGGGGTAAAATTTCTCAACCACCTATCCCGCTACACCGCCAACAAGAGGTGCTATCTTCAGCAGATGTAATATGTTTCAGGCACCTACTGTTAAATATTGGCCCTTTCAGTGCCCAATAGCAGAGCCTTCAAGATTGGGAATAGTTAAATGAAGTTGTTACAAGAATGTGTACCTTAAATGTCTAAGGCTATCACCAAAGGGACACTTTCTTTGCTGATTGAATAGAAAGGTGAAGCTAGGATTTCATTCTATCTTGCAGTGTGTTACAATAATTTTTTCTTTTACGGGTGGTCTGCTACTAGTAATCGAATAATTTTGACTAAGCACATACAAAGCCCAGTACAAAGATGTCCCGCTGGAGCTGCATTTGCATTAAAATGTTGGAGTTGCCACAGAGCAGCAAGTCGTAGATTTAGCTTGAGATACGAAAGGATAAGCACATACATTTTGATCCAGGTCAAGTGCCTTCATATTCGCGGAGTCCATAGAATTTCTTACACTTACCTAGTGGGAAAGTGGTGCTGCGAGCTGTTCGATTCATGGTAATGCTGGGATATGTGAGCTTCGATCTTAACTCAGATCTGTATCGCGCACGTAGAGTTCGGACACCTAAAAGACGGGCCTGGCTTCCACACGTTCTTTGGTGTCAAAATAATTGATTTCTTTGACAAGTACAGCTGACTGGGCCAGTTGGTGCATAATAAAATGAGATTGTTTTAGTGCAGCTCAGTTTGAGCACGAAGAAAAGATAATACAGTAAAGAAGGAAAAAACAGACCACAGTATGAGCGCTAACTTTCTTACTGAAAGAACACGTAGTGAGCTGTTTATTTTTTATCATTGCACAAAAACAAGTTTTGTTTAACATTTGAAACTACAATTTTATGTACAATTTTACTAAGCGTAAAAATAAGAATGGCCGCTAAACATGGTAGGCAGATGACATAGCCAATATTCCCTCTGCCACTGCTAGTCGTCTGTTTGTTTGTTTTTTTTGCTGTTTGGTTATGTCGTAGAAGTGAGTGGAATTTTATTTCAGAATATAGTATGCGTAGAAGAGATCCGCTTAAAAAAGTTTTGTTTTAGAGAAGCATTATTTGTGCAGTCCATTCGTTTTTTAGCCGAAGCATTGCTTGACACCAGCCAACACCAGCCTCGCAGGCACATACACCGTTATTCCGAGCGCTGCAGTGGCAACCCTAAAATAATTTGCATAGATGGTAGTGTCACATTTACCTCTAAACATTTTTGAAAGAAACACTATGATAGAGTATTTTTATTCAAGAATATTTCCATGTTTCTTGTAAGCTTTCAACTGAAGGGATTCTTTGCCTCCAGGAGGTGTATTAGATCAAACATGCAGAAAACATGTTCAGTGGTGTCTGTTGAATGTGCACCAAGCCTACAAGTCTTGACATGTTTGGATAAGTATTGGAGCAGCGAGGCCATTTTTTTAAAAGGTCTTGTATATGGTGCGAGTTGTTGAGAGAGGGAACATTTGCTTTTTTTTTGGAATGGAGCTGTTCTCAACCTTGTTTTCAATGATTGAAATAAATGCCCATTTGAAAAATAACAAGGTCACTTGTGAAAAATAGACCAAATATGAGGTTTTTATGTTTTGGCATGAGGTCTTCGTAGGGGACACAGGTCAGGAGATCGAATCCTGGCTGCGGCGGCTGCATTTTCGATGGAGACAAAAATGCTGTAGGCCCGTGCGCTCAGATTTGGGTGCACGTTAAAGAACCCCAGGTCGTCGAAATTTTCAAAGTCCTCCACTACGGCGTTTCTTATAATCATATGGTGGTTTTGGGACGTTAAACCCCACGTATAAATCAATTCGTAGAAGACGTCCATTGGTTGAGTGGATCTGATTTGGCTCATTTTATTTCAAACAGGACTGTAATATTACAATTTGTTTTTATTCGGAGTTAAATGTATTGTCGTGTACTGTAAAATTCCAAGAGAACCCCAATTCCCAAAAGATAACCCACTCTTGCTTTGGCACAATTTTCTAGTTTTTCAATAACACCAGCTGACAATTTGCCCTTGACTCCATCATAGTACCTTTTGGTGATAACGTCCATAGAAAAGAGGTTGGCTAGCATGGAGATAACCAAAGAGTTGTCGGCCCCTCCTTTAAGTGATGTGCTTTATCGACAAGTGCCTTTGAGGTAGAAGACAGAGCTTCGTGAGTGATGTGCTTCAGTAATTCCAACTTCCACTGCTCTGCTAACCATGTCGAACGCCATGCACGAGCAGGTTGTTGGCCTTTCATTTGACAGTGTGAGCAACTGTTCATTCTACAGGTTTAATGACGGACGCCTTTAGTGCTGATAAACTCATGTTTGTTCTTTATTTGCTATACATCTTCCTACTTCCTTTTTTTTACTGCACTCTAAAGGTCAGCCCACCTTGTACCTTCACTACAATTTTTTCACTCCATTTTAGGTGGGCCATCTCTTTGGATTTTACGGTAGTAGTTGTCTTACACATAGGAAAGCAACCATCAGAAGTGTAAAGCAGCAACTAAGAGGAGTCTGCATTGAGTGTCCAACCTATACCTACGAGAATAAAGCTAAGAAGCGGACCACACAGCCAAAGAAATCCCGCCCCACAGCTTACAGCCTTAGTCTGATTCCTTAAAGAAAGAATTGACTTGTGTGCCCTCCTTGTGCTCTTGCATGCTTGTCACCAGCCTTGGGATCAGAACCTGTGCGAAAGTTATTGCTATGTGCCCTGTCTATCTAACAAGAAAAAAGCGTTTTACAAGAATGTTTTGCAGACGGCGAAGATATGTGGTTCATAGTGACACGCATCCCGGTATTGAGCGGATCCCAAAGTACTATCATATTAATCTTGCATACCTTACTCATAATGCACAGAATGTTCGACATGGCCCTTTCCCACATGCTGCTTCAGCAGGTGACACTGGGAGGTAAGGGTGTTCCCCTTCTCTCCCACAAATGCACAAATGCCTTGGGAAAATTGGAAATGGACACACTTTGGTGTCACATATTACAACACACAGTTTAAACAGTGCAAAAATGAATTAGCTAAATTATGTAAATTGGTAAAGTATCATTTTGATATATTTGTTAGAAATGTGTGTTTTGGAAAGCAGTTGGGCTAAAGAAGTAAATAATGCTGCATGCCATGGGTGATCTTGAATCTTGCATGATAAAAAAATGACCTATACAGTACTGACACGTGGGCTTACAGTACAGTTGCACATTGCTTTGCCTAATTAAGTGAGCAGTTTGGGGACAACTCAGAGTAACGGTGCGAAAAAACACACAGATGATGACAGAGTGAGATGGGACGCAGCGCTAAACTAACAATTCAGTGTTTATTGCAGGTGATCATATATATATATATATATATATATATATATATATATATGCACACAACATTCTGTCAAAGGAAAAAAGAAGGGGGCAAGGGCGGTCAAGGCGCACAAGGCCTAGCATATAACACACGCGCTGACGCGACAAAAATACCATTCCCCTCTTCGAGAGACAGATTGAAGAGCAACTTACCATCTCTGTATGTTTAACCTCTGCCACTTTAATAACTTCTCGCGTTTGTCAGTCCAAATTTTGTCTCTTAAGTGCACTTGGTTGAACACTAGCTTGCAACCTCAACATGCACAATGGGCCGCAAGCTGCCCTGACAAGGCGAGTTTTTCGATTTGCACCTGTGTTTCGACAAATGATCATTCATGCATCTGCCCGCCTGGCTCACATATTCTTTGCCACACGTGAGCAGAATAGAATATACTGCACCCTCTACACAGTGGTGCTTCTTGTCGCACCCAGGTAGCTGGCACACCCGCCTTCACTCTAGTGCACTAGCTTGACAGCTTTAATGTAGCAGATAGCTCAGCGTCAACAGCGACACACTTTGAAATTCTCTTGAGACTGCGACTAATATTGTGAACGTATGGCAAGGCGACAACCTTCTTTCGTTCATGCGTGACATGGTCAGTGGTATTACAGTCATTTTCCTGGGCTTTTTTCAGCGTGTTACCTGGTACAGCGGACAAGACATGCAACAAGTAACCTGCATCTGACAAACGTGCAACTTGGTTGCGAAATATTTTGTGAATGAAGTGAGGCGACAAGTGTGTATCTTGACAGCCTAATAGCAGAAGTTAGGTTGACTTTTATTGGCCAGTAACAAACAAGTTCAACAAGTTTGGATAAAAAAAAAATTCACTTCGAAATTGAGGGAGCAAGCAGTAGGAAAGGGTTGTGTACCATAACTCCAAAAGTGTGAGCGAAGAATTGCCAATGATTATGTTTCTCCTTAATGCAAAATTAGAGGGCTTTTCTGCGTGTGCTCTCCAGGCTGCCAAGACAAAGTAAATCCCACCAGCATGAATTATATTCGTTTCTGCACAGGTAATATAGTCATTAAAGTTATCAAACACTAGAATAACAAAAGTTGTCATGTGAAACTTTAGTGTTGCTTTGTCCATTTTGAGCACTGTGTAGTGCCAGTGAGAAGCAAAAGATAGACACCATGTGCTAGCATATGTTAGCACTAGTATTAGGTTTTTTTAATCAGAAGGTTTCAGTTAGAAGTACATCATGCACATATTTTCAGAGCCATTGCTGCAAAGCGCATAGAAAATCAATAGTTTCGTCAAGTCCAGACGTGACCACTGAAGTGAACAAAAAAGGAGAGAGTCACATAGGCATTCCTGGTATATTCAATACTTATAGCACAGGCAAAAGCAATGGCTATTGTGAAATCAGAGATCGGTTGAGCATAAAAGGTTGGTAATCAGAGAATTGCTGTCTGCTCTTTTGTTGTAGCATTGTCATAATACAATGAAAACCCAGTTTTATGCAGGCTGAACAATGGAGAAACATGCCTGGTACATACATAGACAATAGTGGAAGGGCGTGCATGAGGTATCCTGCGACTAACTTGCATGTAGAAGAAATGAAATGCCTAAACAGTTATCTCTTACAGTTATGTGCCAGATTGACAGGTGGGGCTACCATTCCTGGACGTGCGCAGATAAGTTTTGTGTCTACCTCCTTTTCCACCACAGTGTGCCCATTCGGATAACAATCGGCATTTGTGTTGTGTCATTTTGTCCACTAATGTGACTATCTTCACAGCCTAGCTTCTTTCGTGTCCCCTTAACTATCTAAATGTATAAACATGAGTTGTTAGTCCAATTACCTGCCTGTTCTCTTTTGTCTACTTCTTCCCATTTGCTGGCATTCTCTTAGCACTATACTCGTGCAGAGAGAAGCACTTTTTGTGTGCTTTTCTGCACTCTCCGGCTGTCCTTATCATATTGCATCCAGTTGTGTTTTCTTGCAATGATGGGTATTTTGACAGTGAAATGTCGTTAGGTATTTGATGTTGTCATTTTTTATTTTTGTAGACCCAAATGTTTTTCAGCACAGCTTTTACATTTGCAGCACAGGAAAAGTTGTGGCAGTCCCCTCAATTAAGACAAGCGTGCAGTTACAAACATAAACAATAAATTGAAGCCTCATGAAGTAAGAGTAGCTGAAGTGGCAGCTAGAATAGGAGAGGTTTGTTAGCTGTCAATCTTGTAGGGAATCGGAGTTTATTGATTTCCTGGTGTCACTTGAAGACATGGTGTTCATTGTTGTGTTCCTTATTTCACTTCATATAAAAGCTTTAACAGTGGTCTTAAGACAAGAAGTTCAGTTCCCTTGTATTATTTTTTGTCTTCTATTAGCCATTCATTTTAAATTGTGCTAATTAAAAAAAAAACATACGAGTTTTTAGAAAAAAAAAGTTACTGTTAAAAGGTATTTGTTATCCTGGTCGAGAAACAAGGCAATGTTTTCTCCAAGGTTTTCCAGGGGGCTAACAGAAGGCAAGGCAAAAGTAGTTGTGAAACATGTGTTTATGTTAACGAATGGTGCATCGCAGCATAGATGTGAAGACGTGACTAGACATCTCTAGATGTGCTTAGACAAGCGTGAAATGTAATTTTCTCATCTCTTCTGTTTTTCAAATCAGAGGCTGCGGAGATCATTCGAGACATCTGCAAAGCTGTCGCTCATCTTCATCGCATGGACATTGCCCACAGGGACTTGAAGGTGAGTTTCCACTAGCATTTATTGCATATGCTTGTGTTTAACCTCTGATTGTACTTTAGTGGAGCAAAACTCACTCGTGTGCATTTGTTTACAGCCGGAGAACCTTCTTTACTCCAAGCCTGATGACAGTGCGGTACTTAAACTAACAGACTTTGGCTTTGCCAAGGAAACTACGCATTTCAACACTTTACAAACACCATGCTACACACCATATTACGTGGGTGAGTTCTCTGTACAGTCTCTGATGTGTACGATATAAGTGCATCAGTAAGTCCTTCTTACCCTTGGCCATAGAAGAATGGAACTCGTTTCCATTTTTATATCAACCAGACAGTTTGAAGTTCAGGCAGTTGGTATGAGCTCACTTGATGAAATGAAACCGATCAACAGCAGACTGCTCTGCTTCACCAACTCAAATATGAAACCGAAAGCTTACTATGAGCTGCTTCTTTTTCTTAATCTATAATGAATATTTTGCCCTCAACCTCTTCGTTTTCATTTTTTCTTGAATAATGTGCCTGTAAAGTTATATCATTTCATTGTCCTCACCTTTGTGACAATATGTAACGAAACCACTCCATATTGTAAATTTTCTTCTGAAACAAGTCCACCCATCATTTTATAAGCACGTACTATGATGTTGATGATTTTTTACTTTGTTTTGTGCTTATGAAACCACAACACAAATACTTTATCAACACATGCAGGAACACTTAGCATGTGTCTTTTTGTTTTAATTTCGGTTTCATAGCAGTGTACTGAGCTAACATGGTTTTTTTTTCTTTGTAAATGTGACCTTGCCTGTATATTTCGCTTCCCCCTTATGTGATGCCCAATGCAGGGCCTTTAAGGGATAATAAATGATAATGATGATGATGTTGTGTAGAATCAAGTGGTTTTGGCACTGCTCAGCAGAATTCGAAAAGCACTGAGCCATACTTTGCTTTTCAGCTCCCGAGGTCCTAGGTCCTGAACGGTATGACAAGTCCTGTGACATGTGGTCCTTGGGAGTAATCATGTACATACTGTGAGTATCTTCTTTTTTGCACATTGCACTATTGCCATTTCAAGTCATTTGGAAGGACTTATTTCAATAACTTATGCCTGTTGTGCATCCCTATCTACCAGCAAAATGTTTTTATCAAACTGCATGTTGTTCTGCGCATGATGGCAACATCATTGCGGGAATGATACTGAAGCTTGTTTAACAGGTGTTATTTAAAGGGGCCCTGCAACACTTTCTCAAGCAGCCATTTAATCTAAAGGAGCTTGTTGCCTCATGAATTCACGGGCGGGAAAATATTTAGAATCCGTCCAGTACGAGCGGAGCTGCAAATATTTATCGTATGCTGCAATTTCATTCTCTCTGCTCTCATCCCAATGAAAGCACTGGAAACTAAGCAGGGAGGGATGGCACGGGGAAAGAAAAACATTACGCGCGCCTTGTGACCTTGAGCACTTTTTTTTTTCCTTCCAATACAAAATTTTTCAGTGCAATCGCACACTAACGCATGGACGAGTCGCCTGTAACGAACGAGCGCACCATGTTCAAATCAGCCAATGGCTGATACAATGGCTTTTGCACAATGGTTTCGGGTATCCTACGTCATTGCCCGAGAGAAAAGGGGATTTTTCGCTGAGTTCGAGCATTATTTGCAAGCCGTGAGCTGCGCTATAATATTTGGCTCGTGTGTTCTTGAGAGCCTTGACTACTGGTCGACAGCATTTTTTGACCATGCTCAAAAAGTGTTGCAGGGCCCCTTTAAGTGTACTGACATTAAAGAATGCCATCTAACTGTCTTGCACAGGTAGCTAAACTGGGAGTGTATGGCATGACCAAGAAAAGGTTTTTAACAGTGAAGCTGCCTTTAGTTGAGGCTCTCACGTCTGCTGCTGTGGTAATGCTAATTATAAAGGGTATGTGGCTCCTAAGTTGGCTAAAACCTACAGCTCACCACTGATTCTGTAAAAACGAAAGAGAAATGTTGTCATCAAACAGGTATGTGCCCCTGTGGGGCCTATCAAGAAGCTATCATCATCATAAGTTAGTATCTGTCAGGCCACATGGCTTTAGCTCTTGTTTCTCTGTATGTAAAACAAAGAAAAACAGAAAGAAAGAAAGTATGTGTGGAAGAAACTGGGTGAATTTCACCACTCTGAACTGATTCAATAAAGATGAAGAAAACTCTGCCCAATTGAACATCATTTGTTGACATGTTGCATCATTTGTTGACATGTTGCAGATACACATATATTAGAAGAAGACTACTTCTTACTCTGCTTTCAAAGGTAGGACTAAATTTAACGACTAAAAGTATACTAAGCTTCCGTGCCTCACGTTTGGGACAGTGCCACAGAGATGTTTTTGATGCCGTTCGCAATTGAACTTAAGCTTCTAAATGAACTTCATGGTAGTCTTTACTTACAACAAATATTCAATAAAGAATTACATAAATTTAAGAAAAAACACGTTAGAATTCAACATTATTGAAATTGCTATGATCGGGTTAATTTGGCAGTCCTGTCTACTAGCACAATTGCACACTGAAAACAAAATTTATTTGATAAACTATTTAGTATTATCTTTATATTTATCTAATTCTTTATTATCCTACATTGTCGTGATTATCTACTAAATTTAATACTACAAAACTGTGGCCAATCGCTCAGTGTGGGTATGTGCCATGTTCTGTAAGACTCAAACAAACAAACAAATTGGTATGTACCACTGTGCGTCTGTCAGAAAACTATTGCCATGATATGTGCTTCAGAGATTTTGTCAATACTACTACTGGTTATTGGTGCACTAAAAATCAATAAGGCGACAGTTGAAGCTTCTTGTTAAATCTGTGTATGAAAGTGGTACGGTCAACACGCAATAAAACTATACTACCACCTCGAGGCCTAAAAATAAGTATTTACTTAATAAAGAGCACTAATACAACATATTTATAGGGGGAGACAGTAAAAGAAAGGTGTATTATTTATGAGAAGGCCTCCTTGTAAGAACGAGCTGTTTCGATCTCTCATCGCACAAGGCACTGGAAGCTTTCGGTACTGGGTGACTGGAGCTGGACGTGTTTGCACGACGACGTGGTGGCAGTGTTAGGGAGTCTGACAGATTGAAGCGTGACTAGACGGCTATTCACTTCGTCGAAGCATCAGCACTCTCTGATGATGTCGTCAATGGTGGAGCAGTCTTTGTAAACTAGTAAGTGAAAGGCACCATCAGCGATTCTTTAGAGCCGTCGTCATTTTGCCTGCACAGGACTTAAACGTCTTCGATGTACACCATGTACAGCTCTGTCGAGGTTTGTGGATGGCACAAGAGCTCTTTCTGAGTGGCTCGTTGGCGTGCAATGGGCTCGCCAAAAAGATCTATCATATTTTTGTTCACACACATCCTAACTGGTCAGCTCCTCCTCATGCGTGTCGAACCACACACCGGCCGTACCCCTGAGGTAGTAGCTGACATTTACGGGCATTGAAGTTGGATCCCACCGGTCGGTCTTTATTTATTTATTTATTTATTTATTCAGGTTACCCCTAAAGGCCCTCTAGAAGAGGGTATTACATAGGGGGGGCCAACACAACATGGTTTACAGCAAGATACTGTGCAAACTGACAACCGCAACAAAGCGCAAACCATGAATACGGGCAGCAATTGCATGACGTTATACAATAGTTAAAAAACGAAAGAAAACAAAACAACAAAAGCAAAAAATATTTAGTTAGTCACCGTAGTGCGCATGAGCTCTGAAAACTTTACCGAGTCTTTCTCGGTGGCAATATGTGCAGGCAAACTGTTCCACTCAATAATAGTGCGCGGGATGAATGACTGAGCGAAACGAAGTGTGCGAGATAGCGGGCGTTTGACTTTGTTAGGATGATCACGGTGGGGAAAGATGGAACAGGCGGGTTCAAAGAAACTGTCATGTAATGATGGGTGATTGTAAAGTTTGTGGAAAAGTGATAGGCGTGCATATTTCCGACGAATGGCCAAATCCTCTAGCTCAGCACGGTTTTTTAAGTTAGTTACGCTGGAATAGGTAGAATAATCTGAGTAAATGAAACGAGCAGCTTTGCAAAGATTCAATATTTGATACGATGTAGGCTTGATGAGGATCCCAAATGGCACTGGCATATTCTATTTTAGGGCGAATTGCTGGTGTGCTCATAGTTTGTCAGCCACTTGTCCACGTGCACATTATCAGTCCCGCAGAAGGGCCAGGGTCTCGGAGATAAATCACAACGGGGCTGGGTTCAGTAGCATAGCGGCGGCTAGATCCACAGAACAGCCAGCCGACGTAATGGATTGCCCGAGAAGTGCTCACTGCGAACTTCCGTGGTGTGTTTCAGGTATACCCAGTACCTACACCGATGATGTTACGGGGAGATGACAAAAAAAGATTGTATTTACAATATATTTACACAATCAAAGTGGTAGGAGCAATAACAGCCAAGATGGCGCAAAAAAGAGGCAACCCATCCTCTTGTTCGTCTTCCAGGTCTGGAGCACATAATGATTTCTCAAATACATGCAAAATATAGAAATGCGATAGCCTGATGAAGGGAAGGCCACCAGCTTCTCTGTTCCATTAGTGTGCACGAAGTGGAGCTGGTTGAATTTTTTATTTTGGGATCTATGTTCAGTAGAAAGCATAGGTTTTTCTTCTTTGGGAACATTTTCAAGGTTCCCTACAGAGACACAGTAAGACATTACAGGCATAGCCGGCACCACGGGTGAACCCGGGAGAGGGGCGGGGGGGGGCTAGAACCCCACCAAAATTTTCGCCTGCCCCCCTCCCTCTCCCCCCGGAACTCGCTTACCACGAGCGCCTTCCTGGTACTATAATGCTGGTACTGCCTGTGATCGAAGGACAGAAAAATTTGCACTGTTTAACTTTCATGAAGTAAAATATACACCACCAATTATTCCCGTAATATGTTTTGTGAAGCATTTGAGTTTGTCTTTTTTTTTTTTAAAGAAAGTTTAGTTTGTTTGGATGTCCAAACTTGGAAAGAGTAAAGCTTTTTTGTGACATATTTCATGGTTTCCACTCATGCATCACCACCAGGAAAATTGGGGGGTTATGAGGTGCATTTTAATTTCAAGAATGGCCTTTTTGATTTTCATAACTTGAAAATTGCTCTCTCTTTCTTAGCATGTACTAATCTTGACTGTTTCTTCCTGTAGAGCTATCATTTTTGTCTATCTATATTCTAAAAAAATAGTTGTGACACAGAGCATACCGTAATATTTTATTGTTTATATGAATGGTCTGCCCTTCACCTTTTGTCATTGTTGTCTTGTATTATCTCCAAGAAAAAGTGGGCATTGTTGATTTCTCCTTTTATCCTCAGTATGAGGGTTTCTTCTGCTAAAGTACATTACTGTACGCATGCCTTTACTTGGCTGCCTTTGTCCTAGTTCCTTTCACCCCATGTTTAATCTTTGATTACAATGTTTATACAATGTTCAGGCAAACAAACATTTATCATTGGTGAAAATTTTAAGAATGCAGTTCTTTATGTGTAGCAGTGTAAAATTTTTAGTAGATTTTTCATAAATTGGAGTGATTTGAGTTGATAATCTGGGCATTTGTCATTACATGACTGCACTTGCGGGAAAAAGTTGAATGGACAAGGTTGATCTGAGAATCACAGACAGGTCTTGTTCTGGAATTTTATCACTGATTTCTAATATTGTTGAAGGCCTTTTTGCTAAATCAGTAATTTGCCTTTTCAAGTGCGTGATGACCCAGTTTGGTAACCACACCTGGGCTTTCAGCGCATCCCTTTTATTTTGTGCGGTGCTCATGAATGTGTTTGGGAAGGTCGTGCTTAACAAGACTAATGTTGCAATACTCATGAGACCAGATAAGTATTTGGTTATGGAAAGTTATATGCTAGTAAGATGTAAAATAGAGTAAGTGTATGTGTGTTCGCTCCTTTCTGAAGTGTCACTGTGGTCATATTAAAATTTCTGCTTTACTTCATCGCTCCTGCTGGCACAGTTTTCTTCCCTCCAGTATATGTTGTTTCTTCATCTGGTTAGGTGGCGTGCTGAGGGTGCAGCAGTGACATTGGTTGAGCCTCATTGTTGCGCAGGCTATGTGGGTTTCCACCATTCTACAGCAACCACGGCCTGGCCATTTCGCCTGGCATGAAGAGGCGCATTCGGGCTGGCCAGTACGACTTCCCCAACCCAGAGTGGAAGAACGTCTCGCAGGATGGTAAGCATATTATGCATTTCATGAAGTGCCATACCTTCAAGTGTCTGGAAGACAACACTCAAATATGCACATAAAATGATGGTTATGCAAATATGTGGGTACAGTAATACCTCATTAACTCGCATATCTCAACAAATTGGCTAAGTTGAAATTTTCCGCAGCACCTAACATTTTTCTATATGCTCTATGTATATTTATCTCTTTATCTTGAAGTATTTTTTGGATCAGACTGCAAATAACTCAAAATCTTGACTGGGAGTAGAATGAAAATTTTGCCGCCGGACCATCTCACAAGATTTGCGCGATGCTGCCATGCCTAAAGTCCGTCGATGTTTCTTCTCATTTAGCCACACCTGCCACTATGTCAATGCTTTCTGCAAATGCGAAGTGCACGAAGTCTTAGCCCAGCGACATATCAACTTTGTCGTGCAACCCCATGGCACGTTATGTGACACATGTGCTGAGGAGGGAGGCCCTCTGCCCACGCTTGGTGTTGTTTGTCTCGTTCGCTTTGTGGAGTGCACATGATTTTCCCTGAGGTGAGATTTCCATTCATCTGTGCAAACCGAGTGGTATGGATTTTTTCACTGACTGTGAGGAGCGGCAACTTCGTGGAGTGAGGCAAGCATGGCGCGAAAGCAGGGCAAGTTGCTAACGCTAGGAAAAACGGTTGTGGAAAAAATGCTAGGTCTGCGCAAAAGGCACAGCACAGTCACAGCGAAAGCTCGAAGAGTGGCTTTTCAGAGCCTTTTCAAAACACTCATTGGGTAACTACTGCAAGCACACTTGCTTGATACCCACTAAGTCATTATTAATAAATTTATTTGGGTAGTAGGCCGGCATTCGCTACGCTATTTTTCATCATTCTTTTGAGAAGCGTAGTATTCGCTAAACACTTGCAAGGAATTTTGTGCCAATTGTTCATGCAGTGGCTGAAGAAGATAAGAATTGTGGCTGAAGTGGGTTTGCACGTGCACACAGTTAATAGGGGAACAAGAACAAGCTTTTGTGATGGGTTGGAGCATTGGATGGGCCACTCGTTATGCTATTCACATTGTGTGATGACTGGTTGTTTTTTCGCTGTTTTAAAATACTTTATAAGTCGTAATAATGCAATTGCTTTCCCGACATCAAGCCTGCCTAAGGAAAGTTTGACAGCAAGTCACAAGCACCGGTGTAGATCAGTGGTGGAATACTGGGCTGGCACACAGTAGACCCAGGTTCGAGCCCCACTGTGTCATTGGTGCTAGGTCAAGCCTGCTTAAGGCAAGTTTCAAAACAAGTTACTAGCACTGGGGTAACTCAGTAGTAGAATACTGGGCTGGCACCCAGCGGACATGGATTTGAGCTCCACTGTGTCGTTGGTGGTAGGTTTCTTTTCTAATTTCGCTTGATGTGGTTACGGGCACCGGGGGACAACTGCGCGTGCCCCGAGTTGTGATCTCATAACAGCTTTCACTGTAAAAAAGGAAGTGGAGAAAGAAGGGCGAACGAAATGAGCATTGCACAAGAATTCAGCATCCCTTTGTCTACGCTTTTGATGGTGCTGAAAAACAAGCAGAAGGTGCTGGATAGATTTCAGCAGAGTTTCTCCAGCCAGCGGTAGTGGGTTCAGGGTCGAAGTTCCCAGATGTTGAAGTGGTGTTGATGGTATAGCTGCAAAATGCCAGTGTGGCAGAAAGTTTGCGCAGCGGCTATCACCAACTGCTTTGTGCACGCTGGGTTTCACGTGCCGCCAGTTTGTCAGAAGCAGAGACAGCAGAGACGGATGACTTCACAGTCTGTGAGGAACTTTGTCAAGAGGTTATCAAGCTTACAGGTAACGGTGCCGTCGAAATTGACGTGACTTTTCTGGAGCATGCACTTTGTGAGCAAGATGTGGCGGTGACTGGAGAAATGAGGGATGTTGAAATCGTTCAAACAGCCACTAACGTAGGGAATGGTGGAGGCGATGACGATGACAAACACCTCTAGAGGGGCCGACATCTTTTGAGATAAGAAATTTGCTGTGCTTGCTTCGAAGTAAGGTTGAGTGCAGCGTAGGGGTGGATCCAGCCACTCATATTAGTGGTGGGGGTGGGAGGGGGGGTCACCTAAAGTAACACCGGAGAGGTGGGCATGGTCATGAATTTCTTAATAGGTGAGAGTTAACAATATCACAGTTTTGAAGAGCCAGTAAACAGGCTGCTACTTTTTTTTACACGCCCCGAAGAAGCTCGGCAATTTGTAGAGTAGAGCTCGGCGATCATGTCGTCAGAATATTACAGCGCTGCACACCGCGCAAAGCCTTCATTTCGAAAAACAACTCTCGTGCCCCTTTCCTATGCCTGACCAATCCTCCTTTCACACGCAGTGATGGAAAGTGGTCGATGGGCGACTTGACGTTGCACGCAGCTCGTCGATTGGTCTAAACCAGTCACGACGACGGGCTGCGCCTTCCCCTCTCTGCGAGGAAGAAGGCTTGTAATGCCGCATTAAACTTTGAAACCAGTTGACACCCATGTTTCAATCCCTGTAACTTCCTTAATATAGCAGGTGTTTGCAAAATTCTTGTGGCAGTATGTTCACAAAGCAAAAGTGCACATATTTCTCCTTATAACAATTTTTGGACCTCAGGGCTGTTTACTGGCCCTTTAAAGACAAAGCAATGATTGTGATGCCAAAAAATTGTATTGCTATGGAAGTTAGTCTGGCAGCTCGCTTTTAAATCCGATCTCTTGTATAAAAGGGGCCGTGCAGCACTTTTTGAGCATAGTAGCAGAGGCTCCTGAGAACACGCGAGCCAAATATTATAGCACAGCACGCGGCCTGGAATTCACAATAAATTCTCAAAGTCAGCTAAAAATTGCTTTCTATTCTCTCAACGAATAACAGAAGATGCCCGAAGATTACTTGTAGAAGGCAATCTATCAGCTATTAGCTAATTTGAACATGGCACGCTCGGTCGTTACAGGGATCGCTGCGGGAGGCCATGACTTGTCTATGCGTGCGCCCACAATCACACTGAAAAAGCCACATATTCAAAGAAAGAAAAAAGGAAAAATTGTTCAAGGTCACGAGGCCTGCGTAACATATCCCCCCCCCCCCCCCCCCCGCTTAGCTTCCAGTGCTTTCGTCGGGACGAGAGAAGAGAGAATGTGATTGCACTGTACGACAAATCTTCGTAACTCTGCTCGTACTGGATGGATTTTTAAAATTTTTGTGGTGTTGAATTCATTAGGCAATAATCTCTTTTGGCGAATCTATTCCATGGTTGCTTAAAAAAGTGTTTCAGGGCCCTTTTAAGAAAAACGCTAGCTCATGAGAATGTGGCTCCTCCAGAAACTGAAGTGGTTTTTGAGCTGTCGATTCTCTGAATGCAAAATAAGCAGAGAGAATGTAGCAGGCTTACAATGCGGTTTGCGGAAGCCTTGATGGAGATGGCACGCTTGCCTGCAACTGTGCCCTTTCAAACAATGCAGCCCTCTCCTCCCCTGGCATCCCTTCATGCTCCTTATGAATGATGGGTGGGGCGCTTTCTCTCCATCTCATGAGCAGTATACAACAGGTCACACAGGCAGGGTGACATTATTGCATGTGCCCTCCTTGTGACGCAGACAGCTGGCTCATTTCATATCCACTTTAACAGCGTTTGTCTACAGCCCTCACGAGTTTTTACTCGCGGGTAGATTTATACAATGCGTGGAAAGATGTTATAAATTTGGATGTTATGTAATAAATGATGGCAATGGTGATGCCAGGAGCAACGGCAGAAACTCATCAAGAATGTCTATATAAATGCTGTTGCAAGCACACAAAAAAAAATCAAACCATTTCATTTTGTGGGGTGGATGATGATCAAAGCTGTTTAGCACACGGAACATAGGGTAGGTGACATGGTGGAGGCTTATTTGGTATGTAAGGCTAGGTTGTTAGTAATGAGGCTCTTAAATATATATTATTAGTATTAAAGTCTCAGATGCTTCACTAAACATGAAAATTGACTATCAGTGGCGTCAATAGGAGTGATGCAGAAAGTCACATTATGATGATCTCATCATGACACCATGTATCGGTGAAGCTTATCACTTAATATATTGTGATTTCATATGACATCGTTACTTTGCACTTGGTCTGTAGTCTGTGCACCGATCATGGAGGCAGAGCAAAACCAGGTGAGGTGCAGAAAGCGTGCAAGAAAAGCTAAGTTGGTAAATTGCTTAGGTGCCAGTTGAACACACTTTCAGACATTTTCGCGTAATTGTGACTTAAAGGCTCAGTAAGTGAGAAAGAAGTGTTCGAGGGGTTGGCTTTTTGAGGCTAGCTAAGCGACATTATGTTGCGCCCAGCTATATGATCAGTTGAGAAAAAAAAAAAAAAAATCTGCGTGTAAAATACCAGGACTGCGCGAAACACACAGCATGGCACCAGCAAGAGCTGGAAGAGTGGGTGGCCTTTCAGAGCTTTCCTTAAACTCTCTGCGTAACTGCTACAGGCACACCTGCAGGGTACCCACTACACCATTAATTATCCTATTTTTTGCTAGTATGGAGGCATTCGTTATGCCAACCTTCGTCATTCTTCGGAGAAGCGTGGTACCCACTACACACTTGCAAGGATTTTTTCGAAGTTTTTTGATGATGATGAAAAATTATGCCTCAAGCTTTTGTAATTGGTTGGAGTAGTCAACAACCCACTTGTTATGCAATCAGCATTGTGTGATGCCTGGTTGTTTCTATGCTGTTCTATGCCCTGTTACTCATATATAATGAGATTCCTTTCCTGACATCAAGCCTGCCTAAGGCCAGTTTGCAATGAAGTTACAAGCATCGGCGTGACTCTGTGGTAGAATACTGGGCTGACACACAGGGGACCTGAGTTCGAATCCAATTGCATCCTTGGTGTTTTTTATTTACTTGCATTCTTATTTCTATTTTGTGTGCTAGTAGTTACAGACACCTGGGACAGTGGTGGCGGACAAGTACGGTGCACGCAACCCTTGTTGTGATCTTATAGTAGCTTTTTCTGTAAAAAACCTGGCTTTCGCATTGGAGTCATGTTAGTAGATGCATTAGGGCCAGTGTGACTCGTTAGCATTGGGGCACTGTTGTGCATCGCGGCATTTGTTTACCATATCTGCTGATAATCAAATAGATGTATTCAGAGTATTATTTAATAATGTGCAATTTGGTGATTCAGTATTTGCTTGTGCCGAAAATATTTCCTGAGGAGGTTGTTTTAGAACACTCAACTGCTTGACGTCTTTTTTTTGCATTTTTGAATGAAATATGGAGTGCTCCTGAGATCGTTTGTTCCATGAGATTTACAATGAATCAAAACATTTCTAGTTCCTCGTAAGAGCCGATTGTTCTGGTGCTTGAGTACTAACAACTTGCCTCAAAGTGCTCGCAGGTGCAAAATACTAAAGGCATGCGAATAGTGAACTTGAGAACTGAACCGAAAATGAGTCAAATAGTTATGACAATGAATTCAATAAAAATAGGAAATTGAATACTATTCGAATAGTTTTTGAACATCAAGGTGACAGTTTTCAAAGCAGGCCTAGACTGGTAAGATGACAATCTTGAAAGCACCCCAAGAATTGTACATTTTATTTGAAACAAATACTTGTAAGCTTTAATAAAAGAACATTATGGTTATACTACTTTTAAGTGACAAAAGTACTATCATTATTATAATTGAGGAGTTAACCACAGTCTTCTAAATATTCTGTAACTGCAGGCTGAAATATAGCAGCGTCTACAGTATTCAAGGTGGTACTTTGTCGTCAACAGCTTTTAAATAAATTTGATACCTAAATAATAAGTAAAGTTCATGTGTTAGCATCATTGTTAGGTTCATAGTGAAGGTCAGGCCTGCAGCTAGAGGTGGTGCCCTTGGTGCGTCCCTCCCCTTTTGAAGTTTTGATGGAGAGGGGTGTTATGCCAGAATTAAGTAATGAAAATAGATTATTTTCTTAAATAGTCACGATCTTCAGCAAGAGCCCCCCCCCCCCCCCCCCCCTACAAAAAAAAAAAATCTTGGCTACGTGCCTTGTGGCGATAGTTCACTGCTGAAACTGTTGTATTGGTGACACTGGAATGTTAAGCATAACGCCTTCATTCTGTGATCAATATGGTGTCGATAATGCCATAAGAGTACATAGGCTGCATGCACCTGGGTTATTCGATGATCAAAAGAGAAAATGTTACCCAGCATTGTTCCCACATTTCATTCCTTCGAGCATTTTTTGTTGTTGCTGATTATTAAAAAATTATTAAGCAAATATTTTAAATTCGATTCTATTTATTCATTTGATTCGGCTACTGAATTGAATATAATTTGTTATACATAACTTTTAATATTTTCACAAACCTAAAAGTTATTACTACAAAGTGCTACAAAACAAAAATTTTGCTGCTCCGAAAATTCCTCTGTATCAGAAATCCTGGGTGGCATTACTGGTTGAAAAATAGCAAGGACACATTGGGAGTGATAAATGCTCAGCTTTTTTCTAATTCTGTCGGCTAGTGGTTAACCCATTGCCTCTCGCAGTCGGCGATCCGCCGGTCGTGATGGCGATGCAAAAAGATCTTGCACCGGTGAATTGCCAGCCGCTTAGAAAATGGTTGACTTTGACAGTTTTTCATAGCAATATGAAAAACTGTCAGCGCATTACTTAATGTTTGCTATTTGCCAGTTATGCTCTTCACTGGATGGACATAATTGTCTGTCGTTGGAGCTGCTTGTAAGTGCATGTGTGTCTTTTTTAGCAGCAAAAGGTGCACATCGTGCGGTGCCAAAACCCACCTGTCATGGCCTCACCTATGCACCTATAAGACACCGAGTGGCCTCATTTTCCTTGTCATATTCTGCCGAACAGATTAAAAATCATCCCTAAAGGCTGTGCTTAATTTTAGAGACACACGGCAAAAAGTCCAAGAGCAGATGAGAGTGTGAAAAATGCCAAGTTCTTTTTCACATGAAATTGGGCTTTAAAGTTTTTCTTGCATGAAAATCTTTCTGGGGCTCTTGATGCAGTGAAGCATTGCTAACAGAATTAAACAGGATTTGTTGTTCTATGACAATTCTTGCTGATTTTATTGCAATTTATATGTACCAACCCATGCCTGCCCCATGCAATTTATATGCACCGACCCAAGCGTGAAAACGTTTCTGCTGAATACCTTGTGGGACTGGCTGTGTAGAATACGGAAGCCAAGGGGTTAAGAATGCACAAGATACATTGACCTTTTGGTGAATTGACCCTTCTGCGTCATAAATGCACTCGCACTTGACTTCATTTTGTAGCCTAGTGTTGAATGGAGTCCCTTTGCTAAAGGATCTACAGTGTTTGATGAATAGTTCAAAGTGCTCCTTCCTGCGAGACACAACAAAATTAAAAATTTTTTATTTTAGTAAACATAACCGAAAATGAATTTTCACTGTGTTTTTAGTTGTTTTTAGCCTGTGATCTGATTTTATTTATGGCAAAATAGAATATGAAGGACTTCAGAGTTTAATCAATATTTAACTACAATTAATTACTATAACACAAACATTAGTGCATTATGACATTATACATTATTTTTCTTAAAATGGAATATCAAGTGCCTTGAAGTAACATGTAAGTTTCACACGTATACAGAGCAGAAATGGAGTTTGGCCCTCAAGAGCTCAGAATATCAGCGTCATCTTTGGGCTGTCCAGAGAGCCTGCGATGAGGCAGTTAGGTTAGATCTAACTGTCCCCACGTGGGAGTGGCCTGCTGTGTCTCCCTAAGAGGTGGCACTTCTCCGGGTCTTTAAATGAAGTTATTCGTACCGTACCATTCAGACAGTTGCTTGTAGCTGGTATGTGAAAGGGCTAAGTGGGTGGCACATTCTTCTTCATCAGTGTATTGTATTCTTGGCCATTGTGACAAGTGTCCTGCTCGCCAGACATCTCTTGCATTTCTGTTGCAGTCCTACTTGATGCATCTGACAGACCCACAAGGCATCATCACGCCAAATCTCTAACACCCTATTTCTGCAGGACAGACGCTTATAAGTTCTCATATTTTCCACGCACGGTCTAAGATTGGAATGGAACAACTCGGGCATCCTCAGAGAATCTATTTCTCCTTCGCTCTAAATAGCATTGTCCTGAAAATTCAGGTTTCTGATCTTTTATTACAGCGTTTTTCTTTTCTTTTCGTTTTCTTTTTCATCTTGTATGTGCTGTACTTATTGTGTACTTATGTATTCATTGCTTTCTTGGCTTGAACGGCGAAAATAATTATGTTTATTGTTTTGTATTTGTTATGTATTTATTTTTACTTTAATTGCACATCATATGAAGTATGAATTTGTGGTGTCTTTTTCTCTTTTGTCTGGTACATGCGTTATTATGAAATAATTTGCTATGTTGCTCCTTGTGTTCACTATGAGTGTATGAAACACTCACCCCAAACAATCTTTATGCCACTTATTGTTCGACTATGTCCCCTTGTAACTGCCCACCTGCTTGGACCTAAGGGTCTGCAGTATGTAATAAATAATAAATAATAATTTCTTCAAATAAGCCTGAGGTAGTGCATTCAGTCTGCTCACCTAGCCTTGTTGACGTGTCATTGCAGCTAAGGACCTGATCAAGGGCTTGCTGCGAACGGATCCAACTCAGCGGCTCAGTATTGAAGAAGTTCTGGCCAACAAGTGGATTGCGGTCTGTGGTGCCCACGTTCGCCTGCTGCCATTTTCACACATTTGTCTAACGCAGTTTCCTTGTAGTGACTGGGGATGAGGACAAGAAAACATGGGATCGACACTGAAATTAAATAGAAAATCTTGTCGAACAACTTGTATGAAAGCAGTTGCAACCATAGCTATGTCGTTGGCAAACTCACTTAGAGTCAGACCAAGCCATGAGTCTCGGTATGAGTGAATACGGGTGAATAATATTTTTTTCTGTCCGATTCCGAGTGAGTCTGGCCGAGGAAAATTTTTCTGAGTGTGAATCCGAGTGAGTTTGACTCGGGAAAAGTTTTGTGAGTCTGAGTGAGTCCAAAGTGCAAAATATATTTCTTGAGTGAGTCTGAGCGAATTCCGCTTTATTTTGCCAGCCTAAGGCTCTATTTAGTGATATTTAGCATTGCTGTCAGCCTTACCTGGGCTCTTGTTTATTCTCACAGGTATTTCAAAGCAGTGTCGTTTATACACAGTTTCAATATTTATTAATTAGAGATGTGAATTATGTAACCGGGTGCTTTGACCTCACCTCACCAACTCTGTAAGGGAAGTTCTCGATTGTTATGTCTTATGTTCTTCCAAGAAAAATGACCTTACTGGTTTGGCAGCACTCATAACTTGTTATCAAAGATATTGTGTCAAACGGCACCAAGAGGAGCACTGAGGGATATTGGTGTTAAAGAGCGTTGACACCACAGTTGAGGAAGCTAGTGCTAGGCTGACGGACTCGTGAGTCGACTCACTCGGACTCGGATCAAGCGAAAAGTCTGGGTCTGAGTGAGTCTCGGTGAATAATGCTTTGGTGAGGCTGTGTCCGAGCAAAGAAAATTTTTTTGAGTGTGAGTCGGAGTGGGTCTGGCTCAGGACAGTTTTCGTGAGTGTGAGTCCAAAGCTCAAAATATATTTCTCTGAGTGAGCTCTGCAAGTTTTGCCGACCTATGGTTGCAACACACACCGAAGCCAAGGAACATGTGGTTTGCTGTGAAGGCTAACAAAGCAGAAAAGGAACAAAAAGTTAAACATAAAGAAGTTCCACAAAGGCAGAAAATTTTTAAACCACAAAATACATAGGATGATCGCAGGTGATAAATAGAGAAGCACATTCCTTGTCTTACGAAAAAAGAGCCAGACTGATGCACACATACATTCCTCAAGCTTTGATCATTTCATGAGTTACGTGATGTCTGATAATGAAAAGAAGTTCTGTATGTATTAGTAGCATTCCTGTTTTTACAAAGAAGTTATTAAAAATGTTGATGAATAAGGTATTTTATATTACACGATACATTATGAACTAAATTGACAAAAACCAGGCTGAGAAAGTGTTAAAATTTTGTTGTAATTTAGAGAGGTTCTGTGATGTGTTTCTGAATCGATAAATATGCTATGATATCTTATACAAGTATAAAGGTATTGTTCGATAATTAGAGAGAAGTAGCTTGGTTGCTCATTGCCATAAATATTTGTTTTTCAAAAAACCCTGCAGAAGTACACAGAGGTTCCCCAGACGCCCTTGTACTCAGTGCGAGTGCTTCGTGAGGAAGGAGACCAGTGGCCTGATGTGCAGGTAGGTCTTGGGGATTTTTAGAGTAATACACCCTGCATTCTAAGAAACATGCTGATTCCTTTGCAGTCTGTACCATGAGATTTCGCTCATTTTTGTAAGCGTATTTCGCTAAGAGCCTAAGCTGTGAACCGTTCGACCCGGTTATGCAGGCTAAGAACAAAGTAAGCGGCATTTCAGTTAGCCTAACCTTCGTATGGTACTGCTGTAATCAAGCACCCCAGAGAAGAGGAAACAGACAGAGGGACAGTTTAGGGAAATAAACAAGGCGCAATTGCGAAACGTTGCCTCAGGACATCGAGACCATAGAAGAGCGCATGTTCTTTGATCAGGGGGCAAGCTCTCTGATCAGGCGGCAGGAACGAAGAAGTACTACTGATGAGAGACACCAAAGCACTCACACATCTACCATTGTGCCGTGGTTGTCTCCTTGTGTGCTCTCTTGCACCTGTCGGATGCACCCGATATAGGCGGGAATCCCACCGAAATGGCCTGTGGGCCAAATTTGGCCAATAGACACCTTGGGCCAATGGCACACCAAAGGGAAACATTAGGGGGTAAGTGACCACCAATTGACTGTGTTTTATGTTCAGCCAGACCCCTCTAGGCTGGGAGGAGAGGGATGTGAGAATTATGCAATAAAACATGGTGTCGTGCAGCCCAACATTGTGTACACAACTTAGCACTGCAAGCGTGATAAAAAATAACCCACCAGCTATTCACACTTTTATGTTGCTCAGATGTGTTTGTTCCATTTAGGATGGAAAATGCTTTCATATTGCTAAACATGAAGCTGTGATCCATTGATGTCAACTTATTATGCTTATATATTTAAGGCCTTGTTTGGTTTCTTTCTGGGATTTTGCTAATTTCTGTCTTGCCTTATATGCAATTTTTGTCATCTACCTGTCTCCGTTCTAAAATCTTTCCAGGCCTATGGAAACTGTAATATAGTTAAACTTGCTTATAACGCACCTCCATATAATGAATTCCTCTATATAACAATGTTTTTCTATTCCCCGTCGTTACTCCATAGAAGAACATGTATTTGCAACCTCTTTGTAACAAAGTAACAGCAGGAGACAACCTTAATATAACACATTTTCGCCACTGACAATCCAAGAATTTTGTCCTAGATTTGGTCATTTTGGCACGAGCATGCATCTTCCGCAGTTTCCCTGCTGCCAACATTAGTGGCACGCTCATGGCCCCGACAATACCCAGCGCTCGTTATTGTGTGCGGGCGTGCGCAAGGCGGGCGCACCACGAGGTGGCATTTCTGTCGTTTTTACGGGCGGATGTGGCCTCCCCCTCCAAACGAAAAACAACCTAACAAAAAAAAAAGTTAACTACTTTTGCATTGGCAGTGCCACGGTTTCAGCGTCGCATATGTGGGGCTGTGCTGGAAATGGAGGGCGCTTTACCAAATAGTTTTCCACAATATTTGTGTCGTTCACTCTTAGTTTTTGATTTTTGATGCTGTGCGAGGGTGCATGGTTCCACTGTGCGCTTATGGTGTGGGTCCGGACAGTGTTCAACCTCGCTATTTCATTGTTTTCTAATGCGGGACAACTGCGTCATCACTACTGAAAGGATCTCAAATTAGGGGCTTATGGAAACCCTCTGAGACCACTGGATTATGACGGATCTTCAGAGTTCGACTCGTCACGCGTTTTTGTTTGCGCTGAGAATTAGATGGATCCTAGCCTTGTGATTAGGCGATGAGCCCTGGCAACAACACGACGCGTGTTGAATGCAATGCAATGAATGCGATGGCAACAAATTGTAATGTTATACAAGATAAGGCTGGCAGTCAATCATTTTGGATCAGATAGCGTAGAACTCCTACAACACACTGGTGTAAGCAGATACAGCCACTCCAGGGAGAAGTGCTCTTTTCACACGAACTCTTCGCATTGAAAGCGCACTGATTCTCGCTGAGATAGCACGCGCGCAAGCGATCGCGACCGCGCCCTTAAAATCAAAGTTCACTGTTGCTACTCGAGTGACCCTCTCCCCCTCACATTTTTTTCATGTTCGTTCAAGTTGGGTGGTTCTTTTTCTGTTTCAGCATTCGACGGCAGTTCTAACATGCACGGGATGTTATAGTATGTGCCCTCCCGGTGATAGAGGTGGGCCGGCTCAGTTGATATCTGCTTCAGCAGCACTCGTGCGCTTTTGCCCCCTTGTTAATGTTACCATGCGCGGGGGCATGTTATCAATTTGGGGTTGTTATGGAACATGGTAGAAGTGGCAAAAACTCGTTGAGAGTATCCATATAATTTCTACCACAGTAACGATGCAGTTTTTTAACACTAATAAGTGTTTTGGGTGAGCTCTGTGTTCCCATTTTGTTTATTTCGTGTTTATTTTTTTAATTTTTGCATTGAACCAGCATATAGCGAAATACTCCTTATAAAAAATTTTTTAGGGAATGGACAGTTTGCAATAATCTGCAAGGCAGCTTTTCTCTAAGGTTTGTTTTCCAACCAAGAAGTCTCGTTCACAGACTGCTTTTCTCGCTCATTGTGTTTTTGCCTTTCCCCTTATTGACATTTTGTTGTGCTCGCGTGCCTTCGCTGGAATTCAGAGAGGTAAAAGCACAATGAGTGAGAAAAGCAGTCTGTGAACGCGAGTTTTTGGTTGGAAAACAAGCCTTACAGCAAAGCCGCCTTGCAGATTATTGCAAACTGTTCATTTGTCAATTTCATTCTATCCAGGCTTAACTGTAATAGCTGACCGGTACTGGATATGATGCTTGCTGTATATGTAGTTAAAGCAATTGAAATCTCAGAAATACCACTTCAGGTTATAAACGAAGTAATCTTTGTGAATATAATGTGGCACTACATCGCTTGGATACTGATTTCACAAATGCCAAGAGCTAACACAAGCTGGGTTTCGCCAGGAAGTGTTTACTGTTGGTGCTGTCACATGTGAATATTTTTCACAAATTTCACATCTATTGGACTGCACCATTTTATTTACACGTTGAGCAAATTAAGTGTTTTGGAAGTGAATGAATGCGAGCTCGTTGGTATGGATCCATCTGAACAAAAAGCAGTGCTAATTCTAACATCGACTAAGAAATGCCACACGAGGACGGGCAATGTCCTCGTGCGATGTCTCTTAGCCCCGTGTTAGAATTAGTGCTGCTTTCTTCAAATAGGTATGCGTTTCTGCATGTTCTTTTAAAGAAAGGCGGTAGTTAAAGCTAAGACATGATGATCGTAAGTGGTGTGTGCCCAGGAGGAAATGACGCAAGCCCTGGCCACCATGCGAGTGGACTATGACACAGTGCAGCTCAAGCAGCTGGCCGACACCAACAACCGGCTGCTCAGCAAGCGGCGACAGCAGCACAACTGAGGCTGCTCTCACCAGGCACATGATGTGCGGTTTTACTCCGGTGGCAAATCTGCTTATCACATGTATGGTTACCAAAGTTTTTAGGGCTTAAGTAATTGTCTCGGTCTTATGAGACCAGGAAACCAAGTGCCTGGCTGTTGGGATGTGTTGTATTTTATGAAGATAAATTTCCTCTTTTACACTGCACAGAAATCGTTCCTCCTACTGCATGTATTTCCATTGATGTTGGCTTTCTGTGGGGTCAGCAAAGGGCGTCGCATGCACTGCTGTGAAACTGTCTACAGCTTTTTGTTCAGTTGGTGGGGCGGGATGTTGACATTGGTCGGTAACTGCAAAACATGAAAAACGTTTGTGTGAAGAAGATTTACGAATAGAGGAACACCAGTGAATTCGTGTGCATTTTCATTTTTTGTTTTCCACTTTACAGAATCACACTAATGAGAGCCAGCAGTCGGTTGCACTAGACTTTACAAAACATTCGAATGTCACGGCTTCTAAAACTGCAACCACACTGCATAGTTGATCTAAAGGTCATGTAAAACTGAGGTTGGGTGATAAGCGTGTACATCGAGTGAAAGTGCTGCTCCTGCACAGAGAGCAGATAATCGAAAGAGTTCCTTCCCTCAACTTGTAGAGAGCTCACCTCTAAGACACATACACTGAGCCTTTGTTAATTCAAATTCTGGTAGTACCTTGAAAGGCTGGTTGAATCAAAGTTTCTTTCTGCTGCATTGTCCAATTCGTGTTTTGCTGTCTTGAAGTTTGAAAAGCTTGTGCACCAAACTCTGATAGCTCGAGACCTCGACAGTTAAAAACTGCGGCGAATTGCCTTTAGAAGGATTGTAATTGTGCGTGAACAGTGTTATTCAGTGAGGCAAGGGCACGGTAGTACACACATTTTAATAATTACATCATTTATTGTATTTTATGACAAAAGCACATAGCCAAGAAAAGCCTGCAATAACTAATATTGTGCTACTACACTGCTGTTTAGCTCACACTTGTACAATTGCAAACATTTTGAGTGTCTTGGGGCCTGTTAGTTCTCACATCTGCAATGGCTTGTAAAGTCATTGTAAACCTGCAACTTGCTTAAGGCCGTGCGACACTTCTTGAACATGGTTAGAAGATGCTGCTGAATGGTACAAGTGGCACATGTCAACGGGTGCAAGTGACCAAGTGCAAGGTCATGCGCACACTCACATAAGGACGTACTTCTTGCTCTAATATTATTCCTCTGCCCTATGAAAGGACTCGGAGCATTCAAATAATCTTTGTAACAACTCTGCTTGTACTTGACGAATTCTGAAAATGGCGATCCATTCGCGAGGCAATAAACTCCAATAGTGAGGCCATTTGATGGTTACTTAGAAGAGTGTTGCAGAGCCTCTTTTATAAAGCTTCTCTCTTTTAGAATTAGTGAATGTTACGCTGTATATTTGGTCTTTGTTATGTTATTGTGTAGTATTTTTCATATCTCTTTTATATATTACTAGAGCCCCTTTAAACGACATTAGTTCAAAAAGTGGTTTTTATTTTATGCATACCAAAAAAAAAATGTTCCGGATAAATCTCGGTTTTCTTCCAATAAAATGCTTGGCATTAGAGAGAGCACCCAGGAAAAGTCTCTCCAAAAGTATGTACACTTTGCCTGCAATTGTTACATCATCATTATTGTTGGCAATATCGTGGTCACGTCATAGGGAAGGGGAACTCTGCATTAGCTTTCATCCTGCCAGGAGTGGGTTGCCTCGGAAGAGGCTGTAACGTAGCCTCCTCAGCTACAAATCGAATGAAAGAAAAGTGCGACACTGCTGATTCAGGCATTACTGGATCGCTCTTCCTGGATTTCTGCCCATAATTGCTTGTTTAAGTTTGCTCATAGCCATGCCACAGTGATGAGCTGCTAGTCGTGTCTTTCATTTCCGGACCCATCTTGTTTAGAACCCTGTCGGTATTCATCAACCTTGATGACCGGCATGATTAATGATGTGCTGGTGCAATCAATGCACCCATTGTGTTCACGTGAGGTAAGCGTGCAAGCTGACAAAATTTTCTCCAAGACTCGGCAAGAATGCTCATTTCATGCTTGTGTAATGGTGGGGTTCACTACATGTGGACATATGCTAAAATCTCTACAGTGCTGTGAGTTATCAGTTTGTACAATATTAAAGGGGCCATATCGACTCAAAGCAATATTCAAACGCCATGATAAAAACCAGGTTGCAAGTGAAAAAAAAAAACCCCAAAGGAAGCGCAGGAAATCCGTTGTTTTGGGCGAGTGTCTGTCTCTTCATACTTTCTGCTGCAGATTGTGTTGGCTCGTTTAACTTACTAAGTGGCTCTCAATTCATGCATGATGCAAATAACTGAAGCAGCCAACAGCTTATTCCATTTGTATGCAACAAATTGGAATGTGCCAGCTTTTTGAAAGCTGCCGGCCACATTGGCAACCCCATTCCTTGTACCCTTTACCAATCGCTCGACACTTATTCCTGCGCCACATTTCACCTAACAGCATTTTGTGCGCCATCGTAATAAAAGTAGGTCTTTCCATCCAAGTGTGCTCTAACTCGCGTTGAGTTGCAGCATTGCGCAAGCACGCTTTTCTGCACAATCAGCACCCCAAAAAGAAGTGCTTGTTTCACTTAAGTCGCTTTTAATGAACCATAATTCCAAGTACCTTTATTCGTCTTTTATTTCTAGTTGTGTATCTTGTAGCTGTGGCTAGCAGTATAGTGCTTGTCATACATCCCATGCAGTAGCTGCACGTAAAACAGAGGGCATAATTTAGCGATGGAATAGAATTATCTCAGGAAAAACATGGGCTGCTATACATCTTACTGTTTGTAGTGCAATCGTTGTTCTTACTCTGCAGTGCTTTTCATGCCTATTAATATCTTCCAGAGCCTACATGAAGAAAAAAAACAGTTTGCACCGATGCAATCGGGGGAGCTCATTGGGACAAATGCTCAATTGATTTTTGCAAACTGTCGATTTTGATGTATCAAGTGCCTAATCTATGCTGTATCAATAAATTTAGCTGAAAGTGCATTTAAATAGCCTGTCTGTGCACAAAGAAAGAAAAGAGCATGACGACACACAAACACTGTGTGCAGTTCATGTAAGATTTCCTTGTCTTTTTCATATTTAAGGGGAGATGCGGGTTGAAAAGTGCTAGTTTTTTTTTCAAAATTACCGATTTTTAATTTTGCCTGTTTTGATAAGATTAGCATCTCTACTGTTATGAAAAAAAAATACAGGTCTAGACTAAACTGGAAATGTTTTAAAATTGCATCTAAAGAGCAAAAGGTGCCTGTAAAAAATCCAGAGTGTGCAGTCTTCGAGCACCTACCCGCCGATAATGCGCCGCCACTCGCCATTGTTGATCGCATGAGTCGAAGAGCCGAGCCTCACTCTTCAAATAACAAGTTTCTCTCGCTGACGCAGCGCAAGAAATAATAAAAAGAAGCACTCTTCTGCACGTTTTTCGAGCACCGCGACTGGCTTATCACGTGGTACGGATCGGGGACCGCCATTGGCCGCTGCGCACCTGTTTGTGCTGTGAAGCCTATTAGTGGGGTCCATGTCTTGTCGAGCAGCGCAGCTGAACAATGCTTTTCTCGTGTAATTATCTCAGTTGTGAATGAAAATGAAAAAAAGCCATTGCTCGCAAGTGAAAGCCGTTGTGCGGCGCGCTCTGTAGGAATAGGCTACAAGCAGCTGGTTCGATTTGCGGCAGTTGTTGGCTCGCAAAAGCCAATGCATCAAAAGTCATTCACACCCGTCAGCCGCAAAGTTCGTGGTGTGGCAATGGATGACGTCAGTGCCAATCTTGAGAGGTCGAAAGAGCTCGCAGTGAGAGAACTTAGCAGAGACGACATTGCCATTATGTACGATGGTATGTGGCACAAACATGGCTGCAAAATGGCATGACACTGGACTTAGTTTGGATTTCGCAGTCCTTTCGAACTTCTTCCTAGCTTGCAGTTGGCACAAGGCTCTGCTAGATGGAGCAGAAGTTTGGCAAGCGTTTCATGGCCCTGTCTGTGAACGAAATGTCTGTGAGGAGTCGGCTCAAAAAAGCCGGGAGGGACAAACTCATGGTGCTGGCGTATTTTAGTCGCAGTGGCCACTACAAGAAGGGTTGTTCTTTTTGGTGTGCAAATTTAATCTGATTTAATGATATCCTTCATATATAAAAACTCAATTTTAACTTCAAAAGTCTTTTTTTTTTTTTCAAAACACAAATTTTGCCTTATTTTCTAATGTGCCCCTCCTTTTTCAAGCACTTCTAGGGCTTGGACCTGCATGAAATTTTGTCCAAATTTTTTCCAAAGTATGGCAAATGCAATTATCTAGTTTAAGTTTCAATATTTTATTGTATAATAAAAAAAAATGTATGTATACTTTTGCTAAGGTGGGTGAAATATAGACTTTTTACGTCTATAATTTTTCACGCATATTACATATTCTGTATGTGCTTCCTAATTAGTTATTTGCACTCTACACTTTATTTGAAGCATTATGAACTATGAATAGTAAAAAGTTACAGAAGTTTAGGGATGAAAAGAGGGGGGGCAGAAGGGTTAAGATTTTCACTTTGCCATGTTGCAGAGCTAAAAGTGTGTAACTTGCTAGAAAACTAATTATATATTTGAAATCAGCATAAAAAGTTCTATAAACAGCTCAAGTTTCATTGCTCTAGGGTGAATATTAAAGAAAAAGTGTCTTCGAGTAGCATCTCCCCTTAAGCATCAATTCCTTGGTACTGCTGAAAGTTCTGCTTTTCCATTACAACCTTCCTGCCATATAATGGCTTTTTTGGAAACATGCTAAAGAAAAGGGGGAGGGGAGGTCGTTTTGCAATACTTGTTCCGTGCCCATCGGCATAGCATGCTGTGAGCTAACCTGCCATAACCTCATTCGGTTGCTTAACTGATACACCACTTATTGGTTGGATTCCACTGACAGTAAACTGTTCTCATTTGACACTTGTTTTGAAAAGTTCGAAACAGAACTCAAGTACGGCTGTAAAGTGAAATGCGATTGATTCTTTCCTTGCAATTCAGAAATTAAAGAGAGGCATCTATTGCAAGGAATCACACAAGCTCGTGATCGTTGGGCACTGAAAGGGGTATTCCTGCAAGTGATTGTCTCAGCATATGTTAATTAAGTTGGAACCCATTCGGTGGCTCAGTATGACGGCAACTGTATAGTAGTGGTGATGTTAAGGCATAATCGAGTCATGTGGTGTTTATGATGTCATAGATGATGTGTATGTGCTTCCTTACTGTGAACAGCTTTAGCATAGCACGCATTGACACATGGACACGAGAAGGCACATAAGATAAAGCACTGAGAGTGTAGCTAACGTGCCGGTGCATGTTTACACACTGCTGTGGCTTTTCACTGCCTATGTTCTGTTTTCAAGATAAGGCACATCTAACATATTGGATATGGAAAAGAAGGGGAAGATGGAAGCTTGCAATGAGAACTTCGTTACCATAGGGTTGTGTGCTGCATGCTGGCTTCAGCACACAATCCCTGTGTGCAAATTTCTTATTGGTGTTATTGGGAGAAGCACATTCACAGCTCTTGGAAATGACAGCTTTGAACATTGTCTATGAGCAGCCGTTCTTGAGTGCATATGAGTTCCACAATGCAGATGAGGCAATGCATATCAGGTCCTTCATAACGTGTAGAACACCATCTCTTCAAAATTGTAGGAAACAGTGTCTTGGTATTTGAACAGATTGTGTTGAAAGGACAGGTCTTTATTCAAATGAAAAGATTGTCAAATATAGCTTTTTATTTTGTATGTAGAGGCAGTGTCGCATTGCATTTCTGCTAGGCAATGTATCCTTGGATGATTAACGTGAAGTGGTCAGAAGTACCTTTGGTAATTCCATCAGTGTGCATTATTTTCTCCTGTGCTCATTAAAGCATCCACCGTAAAAAGGTGCTCCAAAATTCTTTATAATGTTTTTCCTGCTCTAAGAACTGTACGAGATCTTATTCTTTGAGCGACCCCACTGAAATTCGCAGAAAATAGGCTGTTTCTACTCCCTCTTGTGTAGAAAGCCAGTATGTCTGCACCACAGTGACATCGGCTAGAGGACGCTTGCCTCACTATCCGCTGTTTTCATGGCAGTTGTTTAGTGACTGCTCGAAAAACTGTGCTCACAGTAAGTGTCCAAACAAAGTGGCCTCAAACCAGCCCGTCCTCAAATTTGTTTTGCACTTTTATTGCCCTATTTTTTGGCATTTTATAGAAATAAGTTAATAGTGCATCTATATTCTTGCCTGCTTGCTGCACATGCCTTTGAAGACAACGAATTTTCTCATCCTTTCCCTGTATTCATGATGAAAAGATGCTTTTCACCATTTCGTGCCAGTGAACTTCAAAATAGAACGTGACATTCTTGCATACCCTCGTTTACATACCTTGTTTATTTCTGCCCCTTTTTTTAATGCCAGTGATGTAAGCATATTGATTGTGATGTTGTAGCCACATTATAGAAAACAAGTAAATGCAAATCTCCTTCAGCATGTGAGTAGGTACAACGAAACAAGCTCAGGAGTGAGGAGGGACCTTGTGGCAAAATGCTTGTGGAGAAGGCCTGCCCTTTTTTTCCACATTGAAGGTTGCCTAAACAGTGAGCTAGGGAAGGAACTGTGTTACATCTGTGCTCTCCTGAGTGTAATCATTTCCTTTGTTACAAATGATCTTCATTGTGATCTTTTTGTATCTTTGTGCTACGCTATAGGCACAACAGCGTGAAGATATGACTAAGCAAAGGTGCTGCCGAGATTGCCACTGAAGCTCCAGCCAAAGCAATTAGTTTTGTTGCGGGAGCTGATATTACTATATTTAAATGCATGAGGCGAATGAACAACTGAAATGTATGAAAGGCGGTGAACACTGACTTGAAAGAACAGCCTCTTAGATAGCACATACAAAGATTACTGCATTGAACCTGTGCATTATGTCCACAACGGGCCTCCTTCATGGGTCAGCAAACTCACTCACGAGTTGACTCACACAGACCGATAATGATCCATTAGTTTGAGTTCCTGTGAGTCTAGTGACGAAAATATTCAAGAGTCTGAACGAGTACACTTGAAGAAAATTTTGGCGAGCCTGAGTGAGTACGTTCGAGCACGGTTCTAGTGAGCATGAGTTCAAGTGTATCCGGTTGATGAAATGTTTTGCTAGTCTGAGTCAGAATGAGTCTGCTTCAGGTAAAATTTCGGTTAGTCTGAGTCTGAGTGAGTAGAAAGCGAAAAAACGTATTTATTAAGTGAGTCTGTGTAAGCTCCGTTTATTTTGCCTACTGATGATCTCCTCACAAAGGCGAGAAAAGCAGCACCTGTCATAATAACCACCTTGGCAAGTGACATGCACGCAAAGCAGTGAGCACCTTTCCTGGTCCAGGGTCTTGGAATTCAAGTCCCCTATCTGTGTTTGGCATTCTTCAATGCAAAACTATCCTCTTGTTCAGCTTTTTGGAAACCTCACAAGCTAGCAGAACATGATCATAGCCCCGTGAATTCCCATGACTGTAATGCTTCTAGTCATCTTTCACTGGGAAAGGTGCCCATCACTCAATTTGGATGACCTACCAGACATTCAAGAACGGAAAATGACAAGCATACCATTTTGTGAGAAAATGAAAAATGTGGCAACACATGCTGAAGTCGCTTCTATTTTCTGCCTAATGTGCACACCAATGTTTGCAGATGGGCTAGGAAAAACTGGGGATGAGGCAAATATAAGCATTTAAATTGAAGGATTGACAGCCTGTATATGAGCATGTGCCAGCTGCCATACATTCATTTATGTGGTACTTGCTTTGGAATGCTTTTCTTTACATGCATTGCATGTCCTACTAATGGCATTGGTTCCCTTCATGGTTATGATTCCCTGAGACAACAGGTCGATCATATTTGCATTGACATTACAACCTGTCTGGTATTCCTCATCAAAATTATCAGCATTCCATCTGCTGGCCTAATCAGTTGTCATTTGCTGGTAATGATGCCTCAGACAG